ATTCTATGACTTTAGAAATTTTTCATACTCCAAGAGCTTTTTTTTGGGATTTTGACGTCCTTTGTCTTTATCTAATCATCAGCACTAAATGTTGAGTATTTGAAAGCACTTTGCGTCTCACTTGTCGCCTTTCAATAGCACAAAGGAAAAATCGTAAAAAAAAAAAATCCTAAAAATTGAAAAATTACATATAGGGATTTATTTATAAAAATTATTATTAAAGCCTATACTAATATTGTAATGGGTCTTTATTTATATATTTTTTTATTTTAGCAGTTTTTAAACTATTTTTTCTTGCACAAACCTCATGAATAAACTTTAATAGCAAATAACACTTGGCGTAGCATAATTCTTACTTCGTTGGGTTTTTTATTTATCTAGTTGGAGATTCGGTCCTTAATGATATGTATATGAAGAGGGTTTTGTAACTAGCACACTAAAATCCTTTTGAGAAGTCTTTTTTTTTTTTTAACCAGAAAACAGTAGTCCATTTTATTGATAAGCAAAAAGAAGTACATAACCCCAAGAGCCGAAGCCAAGAAAAGCAAAAGAAAGCAATAAATCCTAAGATACAACTAAAAAAACATTAACAACATACAATTATATGATAAGTTTTGAGAAAGAAAATAACAATGGATTCATACTGTTTTTTGTTTTCTGGTTTTTGGTATAGTTTTGTATAAATTTTAGAATGAATCATATTATAAATTTTAATAAGAAAAAATAACAAAAAAATTTGGAAAATATTAAATTCCAAATCAGATTTGTTCCCTACATTTTGAGAAGTAATGACTGTTATATTGAAAAAAATTGTATTAAAAAAAAGTATTGACTAAATTTGATTTAGGAATAACAACACATTTTTATAAAAATTTCTCATTTAAGGTCGTACAATTTCTTTGTTTTTTTTTTGCTCATTCTCCTTTTTAATAATATGACGTTTGATAAACCTTTTCAATAAAAAAAAATCATAAATTTAAGGAGACCCACAAATTTAAGAGATATTATTTACTTTTTTTAGTCTTTATTATATGGTATCTCAGCTGCCCTATTAAAATTAGATAGAGATGATTTTTGTAAGTGTTTTTTAAGATTAGAAGCATGTCTTAATTTTAGTGAGTATCTGGAGCACAACTCACAAACATTTTTGTATTATTGATAAACAAATTAGGAAAAGATGGCTTAGTTATTAATTTGGTCTACAAATTAAAAATGGGAAGATTTTACAAAAAGAAATCTAAAATTATCATTTCCCAATTCAAACACTTAAAATTTAAAAATGATAGAGAAAGAAATGATGTCTACTATGGTATTTTACAAATAATGACTAAAATGCTTTTGTATTATATTTGAAAAAAAAAGCTATTAAATTTGTTATTGCTAGTACATTTTTTATTATTATTTCAATATTTGTTATTGTTAGTTTCGAACTTGTTAATAAAATTTTTAATATAAAGGCATTTCAATAATTTAACTATATTTACAAAATACCATATTAGACACCAATTTTTTATCTATTATTTTCAACTCTTATGTGCCTAATTTAGAATATCATATTTTCTTGTTTCTTTATTTGTCATTTTCCCTTTAAAAATTCCAAATTTTTTTAGGGAAAATCCCTTAAAAAGACAACTAAATAATCTAAATTCTTATTTAAGTCATTGAATTTGTCAAATTCCTAATTAGGTCATATGACCTAAAGAGGGATTTTAAAACTTTATGAAATAACTTTAATGCCCCTTTAATTAGAAACTAAAAGAAAATTCTAAATTAGCATATTTCATTTTACAATTAACACATTTTAATTCTAACCTAACAACTTTCTATCTTTATAATACATTTACATGAAGTCTTTAATAAAATTTTATTTATTGCAATACAGCTTGAAAAATTAAGAAGTTCAATTATGCAGTTAACAAATTTCAGTTCTAAATAATTAAAGCTTTATATCTTCATAATACACTAACAATAAATATTTGAATAAAATTTAATCACAATATAATCTTCAAAATTAACATGTTTCTTTCACCGTTGATATTTTTCGATTCTAAATTAACAACTTTTTATCTGCATAAAACACTTGCAATAAGTTTTTGGAAAAAACTTGATGATAATATAACTTTAAAAGTTAACATGTTATAATGTACAATTAACTCATTTCAATTCTAAATTAACAATTTTTTGTCCCCATAACACACTTGCAGTAAAACTTGATTACTATACAAACTTGAAAATTAACACGTTAAATTACGTATTTAACAAGTTTTAGTTCTAAATTAACAGTTTTATATCTGCATAACACGCTTGTAATGAGTCTTTAAATAAAACTTGGTCACAATACAAACTTGAAAATTAACACGTTCTATTTCATAGTTAATACATTTCTATTCTAAATTAACAACATTCTATCTTTATAACACACTTGCAATAAGGGAGGAAAATTTAATATAAAAACTAATTCGCCACTACTTACTTGATCAATTTTTCGACTTGCAATGCTATATGCCAAGTTTCTCTCATTCAAAGTTCTTAGGCAACACGAGAATGATACAAATTCTCATCTCTCTATATTTCTAATAAAATGAGTATTAAAGTCATTTCATAAAATTTTAAAATCCCTCTTTGGGTTATATGACCTGATTAGGAATTTGATAAATTTAACAACTCAAATAAGAATTTGAGTTATTAAAGTGTCTTTTTAAGGGATTTTCCCATTTTTTTATAGAAGTTATACAAGTTGTAATGATGTGATTTTAAATAAGAGTAGCATTAAAAAATAATTAATACTTCTCATGTCCTTAATATAAACCTATTTAACTAATTTGATTAGATTAAAAAATTAGATAATTTAGTTAATTATAAAAAATATGATATCCTTTTCCTAAAACACCATAATCATCTTTCTTAATATTTTCTTTCACTCTTTTACTTGAGTATGGTTAAGGGAGTATTCATAGTAATTTAGAAAAAGATTAATAAATATTTGAAATATATCTTATATTTAAAACTAAAATCAACTCAATAATTAGGTCATATATTAAGGACCGGAGAAGTACCATACTTAATAGCAAATAATAAAGTTATAATAAGAACAACACTTTTTTTTTGGTACAAGTGCCTGGAGTAGTAGTGGTCTCATAAAAATTAAGAAAAATTAATCTTTTAGTCCATATAATTTAGGTTGGTCAATTCTTGTATTTTGACTCTTTGCAACTTAATTTGTATAGTTTTAATTTAGTTGTAACTCAATCTCTAAACTTTGACTCTCTGCAACTCAAATAACATATCTAATAAAGATAGGGATTAAATTATAAAATGATTGAAATTATACAGGGATCGAGTTGTAACGAGTCAAAGTTTAATGATTGGGTTACAATCAAGTCAAAACTAGAGTTGTATTAAGTTAAAGCATAGAAATTGAGCTACAAAGGAATTAAATATATAATTAGACTAAATGAGTAATTTTTTTTGCTCAAAACACTAAATGAGTAATTTTCTTTTTTATTTTTATTTTCATGCATACCAAAATAAAAATCGGCTCAGCCCAATGTCCAGGCAGAGCACCTGTGAAGAAGTCGAGGAGCCGAGATCAAAGAGTGGATCTCTCCATCCTGGCTAGTCATTAGACACGTGGTCAGTCTCATGGTTTGCCACATAAGTCAAAGGGTAGGGATTGAGTAAAGTGTAGGCAGCGTGATTTTATTGATTTATACATTATAATACTCTTGCAGTTTTAATATAAAATCTGTTTAACTAATTTGATTAGATTAAAAAAATTAAAAAATTAGTTAATTATAAAAAATATGACATGTTTTTCTTAAAACACCATAATCATCTTCTTTAATATCCTTTCTTCCTCTTTTGCTTGATTATAATTAAGAGAGTATCAATAGGGGTAATTTAAGAAAAATTGATAAATATAATAAGTAGACCTTATATTTAAGATCAAAATTAACTCAACAATTAAATCTTATATTAAAGATCGGAGGAGTATTATGCATTGGCTTCGTTCTGATATTGTTACTAGAGGGAGATTAATGATTTGCAAACAATTTTTTGATACATTGAATTGTACACCATTTACCTTAGCATATGGCTTATGCCAAACTAATATGTATTTTCATTTGGTCCTCATTAACCTAATTCTTGAAAAACATTAGAATTTAAAAAAGTAATTTATTTTCGCTTTGTAAAGTTTTCCTACAGACAAGCATTACCATTTAAAACATCGACAATCACTTACTGCAGCTCATATCACATCAATACAATTAAAATGTGATATAGTTATTTATAATAAAATAAGTGTGTGGATATATATTGGATGAAAACTATGGTATATTGATCAATATCACCTTTGTTTTTTTTACTATATATGACTTTTTATTATTATGAATGATTATTTCTTTTTACTTTAAGTATATATCATTTAAAATGATTAGTTTATTTATGGCCAAAAAATTATTCACATTTTTTCATTTCTTCTTAATTTTCATTTCTTCAAAAAAATTTTGTGCTCATTTATTTGCTATCTTTATTGATATGCTTAATAAAATCTTAAAAAGACTAATAGAAAAAGGTGGAAATAACTTATTAACAGCATGAGTCACTGCCAATAAAAAAAAGTGATGTGAATTTAATTTCGGTCTTTAATATAAAATCATATTGACTAATTTGAAGATATTAAAAAAATTATTATATTTATTATTTTTTTCAAATAATTTGACTCATCTATAAATTTTATAAATTGATATATAATATAATAATATATATAAATATTTTAGAGAGATCATATAATATTTATTATGATTAATAATTTAATAGTTTTTAAAATTAATTAACTAAATTTTATATTAAAAACTTGAGGAAATATTATATTACAGTATATATGAAATTGTTAACTCACAAATTTGTTGGCCAAAAAAAGCTCACACACAAATTGGTCGGGGGGGAAAAATCCCCGATTCCAAAAGGCTCGTGGCGAACCTGTATGACGCATACAGACCATTGTTTTTATGGGTTAAACAACGCAGGCCATTATCGTCTACCAAAATCACCTTGGAAGCAATTGGTGAACATCTCCTCTCGCCACTTCTCACTTGGAGATTGGTCAGCGTCTCTCTCCTCCCCTTTGTTCCATGTTTAGCACTTCCCGTTTGTCTTGCTCCATTCTGCATTTCTTCAAATTTTCATCTTCTGCTTATTAGCCGTTTGATATATATATATGTATATGTATATATTAGAGAAAGTGCATATGTTCCAAACTTCCTAGGTTAAAGGGTTCATTAGTAGTCATAGTTCGAAAGTTAACTATTTAAGCTTTCGAGATGTTGGGGAATCACTCAATTCAAGTGTTTTGCCAATATATTATCTTTTAGATGTGGCAAAGTTCAGATCTTGTAGTGTAATTATGATTTTTTTCTCCAGAAATATGCTTGAACTACGACCTTGTAGTTGATGCTTTTGAGCTATCTAGGTTTACTAAATTCTGTGGTTTCAGGAATGAATTGTGTTCCGAATAGTGTCTCTGATGGCACTGTGCTGCTCAGTAAAGGGATGACTATAACACCACGAGAATCATTCATAGTTTCCTTAAATCAAAAGCCCAACATATCGTCAGGTCTTAGTTTTCTCAATTCCTTGCAGGTATGTTGCGTCATTGTTGATTATAGATTCGAGTGGAGGATATTTGTGAAGCTGTTAATTGAAGTTTAATTTATATGGCCCAATTTAGAGTTGGTCTGAAACAAAAATTAGTCACTCTGCTTCCTTTCTTTGTTTACATTTTATGCTTGATTTATGTAGTGGGAGGCTGAAATGAAATGCTTTGGTTAATCTTGTCAAGAGAACTGTTCAATTCTTGAAACTTCATATATGTATAGAGATGACAGTTATAATCTTATATTTCTTTTTTTTTTTTTTTTGGGTTCCCTTGTGCAGTATACTTGCTGCAAGATTAGTGTTCCTATAAATATTAGAGCTCCACCACATAATTTTTGTCAACATGCAACCATCAGAAATGAAATTCCTCAAAATGCTGATTTTCCTCGGAAATATTCAAGAAAGGAGAAAAAACCTTTTCCAACACCCATTGTTGAGCTGCGGCGAGCAGCTAGGGAGAGGGTAAAGAAGATAAAAGATGAACCAAAAAGGAGAGCATTGCCACCCCCAAAGAATGGGTTGCTGGTGAAGAGCCTGATCCCAACTGCTTACAATGTATATAATGCAAGGATCACTTTGATTAACAATCTGAAGAAGCTTCTTAAAGTGGTGCCCGTGCATGCTTGTGGGTAATTAAATTACTCAACATCTTCTAGCAGACTTTTGGCTGAAGTAGATTTGGCTTATGCAAAATTTGGGAAAATTCATTTGCATGTGCTTTTACTGTGATTCAGCGTGGTATGGATTACCATTGTTGTTTCTGTCTTTTTGGTCGGTTAATTTCTTCATGCAGCTTAAGTGGTTTCCTTGGCTGTTATAAATGATGCTTAACTTGTAACATTTCTTTACCACAATAGCTTTTAGTGGTTCACCATTCTGTTGTTATTATAGCTCTGATCTAAGTTATTGCCACCAGCAATTTGCCATTTCCCTTCGTGAGTTGATAGGTATTTATCTTTCTCTTTTCAGAAAGTAAATGGTTGAATCATTAGATATTATGGTGATGTCATGACCTTGGATGGTATGGTTCATCAGTAGGTTAATGAAAAGTTCCCCTTCCTGCCTCCTTAGTCATTAGCAAACATGTTCACTGCTTGAAACCTTTAATGGTATTCATAAACATGCTGCCACGGCAGCGGATGATTCTCTGAAGTTGACAGGTTCTAAAAGCAGTAGTCTGCCCTCGATGCCTGTAGGAACTCAAATAGCTTGTCGCTTCACATAGTCAGGATAAACTTAGATGTTTTCTTTTTATCCTCTATGTGCATTTTCAGCTGTAGACAAGAATATAGAGGGCAGAAAATATTTCATTTCAGTTGTCAATGAATACAATTAACATATGTCAAGGTTTTTCGTGCTATCTTGTTACGTTTCTAATTTTTGTTGAATCCATGTTCAATACCCCTTCTTCTTTCCTTCACATATAAATTTCATATTATTTCCTTGATCTGTGCATTTAGTTGACACTGTTGACATTGATGTTCTAGTGCAGGTGGTGCACTGAAATCCATGTAGGACCTGTTGGACATCCTTTCAAGTCATGTAAAGGCTCGCAAGCTAATCTCCGCAATAGTCTTCATGAATGGACAAATGCATTTATTGAAGACATATTAGTGCCGATTGAAGCCTATCACCTGTATGATCGTCTTGGAAAACGTATTCCTCATGAAGAGAGATTCTCTATCCCCCGAATTCCTGCAGTAGTTGAACTTTGCATTCAAGCTGGTGTTGAAATTCCCGAGTATCCCACCAAGAGAAGAAGAAAGCCTGTAATCCGCATAGGGAGGAAAGAATTCGTTGATGCTGATGAAAGTGAACTACCAGATAGAGTCCCAGAGGAGCCTGTGAAACCATTACTAACTGAAATTCCTGATTCAGAAGTAGTTGCTCCATCTAGCAAAGAAGAGGCAGTCCACCTTGCTGAGGAAACTCTCGAAGCATGGGAACAGATGAGGAAAGGAGCCAAGAGACTAATGCGAATGTACCCTGTGAGGGTTTGCGGATATTGCCCAGAAATTCATGTTGGTCCATCAGGGCACAAGGCACAGAACTGTGGAGCTCATAAACACCAACAACGCAATGGACAGCACGGGTGGCAGGCTGCAGTGCTGGATGACTTGATACCTCCAAGATATGTTTGGCATGTCCCTGATGTGAATGGACCACCATTGCAACGAGAGCTTCGTGATTTCTATGGGCAAGCTCCGGCTGTTGTGGAAATATGCATTCAGGCTGGTGCTGCTTTACCTGAGCAGTACAAACCAACCATGAGGCTGGATGTGGGGATCCCATCAAATTTAAAAGAGGCCGAAATGGTAGTTTGAGATGAATTCCTCCTCTAAAAAACAAGAGGGTATGGGTTGTGAAGTGTATGCACTATATAGGATGTTAATGGAATGCAATGAGAATTGTTGCTGAAACGGAGAATACTTCTCTTGGTTTGTGCTGGCTGAGGGTTTTTTGGTGGTTAAGGCAGGATATGGTGCGATATGCTAGCCTCTGAATACCATAGCAGGAGATTAAAGAAAATGTTGAAAGTCTGGTTACTGGAACAAAGAATATGATTTAATATTTTCTGTAACCTCTTCTTGACCATGAGATGAAAATTGCAATTTTTGAATCATTTTGTTAGGCTAGGGAAAAATTATTGATGTCAAGTGTCACTTAACCTCCAAAAGCTTAGAGAAATAGTGACGCCATGATAGTAATGAAAATACTCTTGTGACTAAGTTCAGTTGTTCAGTGAAGAGGGAAGAGAACGTCTCCTTTAAACATCAAGTCTGTGACAATGAAAAATGGCTTGGATTTTTTACGTGTTTATGGGAATCAAATAACTGCTTGATTTCCGTATGAATCAAAGCATCACTAGAAGGAAATATTTTTTGCTGAATATGCTACGTACCCTTTTAGCAGCTTTTATATATGTGCGTGGTGCCCTGTAGACGCTCTCATTCATGGTAAGCAAGGCATTTTTATTATTTTGGGGGTAAATCCATCATTGCCAAGAACAAAGGAATTGAGGAATAGGCTATGCCTTTCATGACTCTAGCATATTTTGCATCCTTCTTTATAGTGGTGAAAATGATAAAAAGGCTTATCGCGGATAGAATGGGGTACGGTCCATAGGTCATAGCCAGTGACTAGAGTTGAAGAATGTGTCTTAAATATGCAGTAGCATGGGATTTTCAAGTCTTGGAACAATATCAAAGCAAGCGTCCAACTTTTGATTTTGCAGGAGGAGGATACTCCCAGAGTCCCGTGATAGTTATTTCTTGTTGAAATACCATTGCGCTCAAAAAAGAATCGCAGAACTTGTGCCAATTGGACGTTTGGAAATAAACACGATCACATTCAACGAGTTCATTAAAGAAAATCAAAACAAATATCTTAAGTATGATCACAGGGCCTGTAAATTTAAATCTTTCAACGGTTGGGTCCACATGTACGAGAACTTGTATTACAGCAAATTCTGCTTGCTGCTCTCTGGCATCTCCATCACCACAGGCACAACATTTACAGAAGAAAGTACAGTCCAATGCATAACGTGACAATAAGCACATTTTTGCCGGGTAAAACAAGATGGGAATATGGCTCAGTATCTTAAAAGCAAGGCAGTAAAACTGAAACACCAAACGTACAGCAAATTACAGGGCATATTAACTAAATGCAACGTCACAGCATCTATTTGTAAGAATGGCAGAGTGGCCTTGAAGCGAAGCTTGGAGCAGAAAATGAAGATTTATAGCCTTTCGGCTAGATATTCTGCTAAAGAACCAATCGGCTTAGTAGAATCAACACTTCCAACTCCTTTGTTCTTTATCTTAATACGAGCCAGGTAATCGACTGCAATCCATGGGAAACTCAGCATCACTTTATTTCCATGATCAACAGATTTGTCTCCAAGATCAAGGGACTTCTTAACCCATTCAGGATGATATGTGACCTGATACCAGGCTGATGCCTTCTGCTCATATAATAAATGTTTTTCTTCATCACTTAATTCTTCCATATTTGAATTCAATTGCTCAAAATTTTGCCTAAATTCTTTCTCAGAGTACTGTAGGCATGCTTGAGCCTTTCTTTAAGATCACCTTGCTTTCTGCTGCTGTATTTGGGCATGGACCAGATCTGTCCAGTTACAATTTCTTCTTCTCTTTCCACTTTGTACTGATTAAGCAGTCCATTTAGCTGACCATCATAAGAGCACTTCTGATCCCATGCATCGTTAATAAACTCAGCAGCCCCGGGAACCTCAAGACTAGCATCATAAGGTATATCGCCAGTTACATGCTTCAAACTAGTGCTATCCAAGTCTTCATCATAAGTATCTCTAATTCGCCTGTAAAGTCTACCAAGGATTTTCTTGGATTTATAAGACTGGTGTGGCTGCTTCCCCATAAAATCAGGGTATAGTTTTGGCTTCAAGTGAGAAGGCATGGTGACAATCTTTCCAGTTTTTGGAAAGTCAACAGCCGTGGCTGCCAACTCAGCCAAGGTTATGCACTTCTCATCCAATGCGCCATAGTCACTAAGATCAGCATGTACTACATGTGCATTGCAGATTGTCCCCAAATTCTCATTTGCCATATTTCTCACATAAAATTCTACTATGTCCTGCAGCATGTAAGATGACAACATTTAGAACTCCCAAGGAATGATTGATGCATTTTCAGAATGCAAATAATGTATCTTCAACATGAAAGATCAAATTAAAATAAGCTAGTCCAAGATAAGTTCAACGATAATGTACAGTGAATGCATAGAGAATTGCAAGAGAACACACTTGCTAAACACCTTTAACAATTTCAAGATAAGTCTTGAACTTCAACTTCGAAGGTACAAAACAGACTATTACAAGTTATTTCTGCCTTTAATTTTTTTTTCCTTTTTATACCCTTTATGCATTTCATCAATGACCTAAAAGAACTTTGATGTGAAAGTTTGAATGTGGTATAAATAAAATGATGGCAATGCTACTGCACCATTAAAAACTCCCGTTAATAGCTATAGACAGAAGATGCGGGATTGTGGGCATCACTTTATATGCAATTTTTTTTTCTTCCAAATTTCATGTTTCGACACAATTTAAAATATTGTGTGACAATTCAGATCACAAGAAACATACCCTCAATATTTACTATGATCACTTTAGGTAAGTCCTTAACCTGTGCATGACGCTTAATTATTGATTAAAAAATGACAGTCTAACATAATATACGAAAGATATTAAACAGTCTTATTTTGAGTTTTGTCCATGGAAAACATGCAACTATGTAACATTAGGGAGAAAGATGAATGAAAGAACACATACTCGAGTAGTAACTTGACGTGCCAGAAGTTTGCTTTCTTGAGATATATAATCCATAGGCGTCCAACTCCTCTTACGGGGTGGAATAAGATTCTCATCCCATGTAACAAAATAGAGGTCCCCATCAAGGTCACTTCCAGAAGCTTCGTTTGTATGGGGTCTATCACCCTTTTGAGGAAAAACAAGGCAATCATGTAAGTGATGTAAACCAGGAGCATCAACTGCTTCCAAAATTCTTACGTCTCCAGGGTGAAGACAAGGATTTTTAGCTATAACCACCAAACCTTTAACTACTTGTAGATTCTTTGTCTCTTTGAATCTTGAGCCATGTTTTGCAAAACAATTTTCAAGAGAAGGGGTAGAGACTCGAATGAAGCACTGTCCTTGTTCAAGCACACCCTCCTCATCTAACACGCCCATTAACCATCGCCCAGATGAAACAAAGATCCTGGCCTTTTCTCTAAGGCCCCAAAGCTGTGCAGCACGTACGGATGTTAATATGCCTCTAAGATGAGGTTCCAATTCAGGGCTAAAACCAACACTCAACATTATTGCCGCAGCATTTCCATGCTCAGCACAAGACTTCGTAAGAACATCAAAAGCCACATCTGCATCCACAAGCATTTTGTTTAACTTCGAAACCATAGCCTCCTGCATGTTCCAAAATACTTCATCGGGCACATTCAGTGCTGAAAGCAATGTCACGATTTGCCTATTAAGGAAACCAGGTTGAAACCTAGTCCAAGAGCAGATCTCCAAAGTGGTGTGGGTGGATTCAAATTTGTTCATACTTGGTCTTAATAAAAGTTGGACCCCATCCTCTCTAGCTGGCCAACAGGCTACAACCCCTTTAAAACCAGCATATCTGATCTGGTATGCAGAGGGCACATCATCCAATTTCAATTTCTCAGCTACTGCTCTTGCAAGATCAGGTCTAATAATACCGATTCCATCAGAGAAATCATAATTATTCCTCTTGATATCAGGTATTGAATCATGTGCTGCAACCTCCACAGTTGCATATGTAGATGAGAAGCACTGTCCCATCCTCGCAGCACATTTTGCAACATTCTTGTGATTAAACCTCCCCATCCAATCTCTTATGCGATCGCAAGTTATGCTCTTTTCTTCTGCAAAAAACCATGCAGAACGGTCCCGTAGTTGATTGGATGAGAAGGCCAAAAATGAATATTTTCGGCCACACAAGTGAAAACCCTTTTCCAAAATTGTCTTCACCCTTCTATATATATTAGTCTTTTGCGGGAAGGGGTTTGAGGTGATCTCCTTCACTATTGGAGGAACATAGTAGTTTAGACCAGATGCATTGATTGTCTGCATGCCTTCATCCATAAATGTGACTCTCAAGAACCGATCTGCAACTTCTTTGAATTTCCTGAGAACCCTATTGGACATTTCAACTTCAGGTGGCAGGCAATATGCTTTGGTTGGAGTGATGATGAGTCTATGAACCTCTGCAATATCATCTGACTGTTTAGAGATTTGGTAAAGCTTTGGATTTCTAAGCAACCACTCTTGCACCATTTTAAGCCTCTTGGCTGCATCAAATATGGGGCGCTTGTAAGAATACAAGTGCTTGAGTGCAGCCACATTGACCTCCTTAGGCTGTTTTCTCAACAGCTCAAAAAAACCATCCGACAACCTGTGTTGATTGAATATGCCTTTGTGCAAAATTGCATTAATCAAAAACATAATGTCAAAGGTGATGCCTTTCTGGAAATGAATACTGAAGAAATGATCTGACAAGGGCACCCCATAAAACGGTTCATTCATTATTCTAATAGGCCGATTAAGTGAAATCTCCTGGACTCTTTGGCCTTTTAGATACTCCATGGTCTTCAGCAATTTCATACGATACCTTACTGGCATAGAAATTCTGTAAAAACTACACCGGCCAAGGGCCTTACTAGGAGTAAAATCTGTGGTTCTGATCCACGGATCATCATCATCTAGCAAAACATGTGTAGCTGACTCTTCAATGTCATCATCTGCAGTTCTGTACCAAACCAATGGTGACGAAGCCAGCTGTAATAAGATAACTAAAGATGCAGATGACGTATCATCATATCTCTTGATTTCATGTATATCTCTGACCAAGAATCCCACCTGAAAGTTGCACTTGATCACTGCTTTTTTCTCCATACCTTTAAAAGAGAAAACAACATCTTTGTTGAAACATATTTTGCATGTGGCATCAAATGGATCTACCAGAAAGTTGACCCCTTTATCAGGTCCTCTCCAGGCAACATAGAAGTTCTCTGGGTCAACCAAACTCCCGATTTCAACACGTACATCAGATAACTTAAAAGGAGTTGTGGTTCTCCTCCTTAGGTTTAAGAAGTATGGATTTTCAGGTCCCAAGCTAACCTTTAAATTTTGATTCTGCCAAAATAGATCACAGCGGCCAGCAGCATTGTATGCCTCAGTTACATATTCAGGTAATCCAAAATGCACAAATGCATGAGGTACCACCTTCTTATAGTCATCTGTTCTTTCAATATTTGTTGTTTCAGTGATCGTGAAATCTGGATAAGACTCTGGAGGGGTCGAAGAAGTTTTCAGCCGACACCTATCTACAAGTCCAATTTTCTCTTCCAAGTATGACACAAGATCTTTTGCTTTGATCTGACCATCAAATCCACCAATGCTAACTTGAGTAACTATACTTTCTTTTTCTCTACCTTCTAGCTCCATTTTTGGGGTAGTCTGCAGAACATATATCGCGCATTTTTGTCAGTTAAATTAGTATTTGAAGTTGCCGCCCACAACAAATAGCAGGGAAGAAAGGGGGCGTGCGAAGCTATATTTCTAATAAGCTTGTTTACTAAAAGTAACATTCTTGCAGTCCCAATTATTAGACTATTGAAAAAACGCATAAACAAGATTTCTGAATGCGTGATGGAGAAGCAAGATGATGTTTTTACGCACGTAATTTATAAAGAAGTAATCAATACACAATCCACCAAATATAGTAAGATCGACAACAACTATTAGACAGTGAAAGAGATATGGACAAGCACATCCACCAAAAAGATAAATAAATAAATAAGTAAATCAATTAAATTTTCTACAAACTTTTTGCTCTAAAAATTTTTTTTATACACAACGTTTTCTCAAATAACAATTTAACGCTTCCAGTTCTGCAGACTGATTTTCCATGGCACAGTTATTAAAGTGAACAAGGAAACATGTTCGGAGAGAATCATGACGTATTGCAAATCGAAACGCCCTCCTTTCTTTCCTCACTCCAAAACATAAGCTTATAATAACCAAACTAGTCAATAATAGCAACTGAAGGCCAACATTTGAGAACAATTTTCTACGTTTGTTAAGCACAGAGACTTGACTTGATTTTAATAAGGAACAACATCAAGGGTATATTCATACGTTCATATAGGTTCCCCTAAAGGTCCCAAACCAAAGGATATATGAGCACTTATAAAATCTGGAAGCAATATCTTTATTACCTACTCCACTTACTCCTCCCACAAGGCCGGAAAAAAAGATGGAAAAAAGTCCATGAAAACAGAAGAAAAATATTTTTACCACCATAGTATGAGGTGCAAAGGTAATGGCAATACACTCGATCCTGGCGAAAGCTATTAATTTAAGCGCACAGTCTCCGCACTTTCCTCGGATGCAAGCTGATTTCCAACCTGCATACATTGATCGAAGTATACAAATCACATCTTACAGCACGCAAGAATCTCGAATTCGACCGATCATCGGTAACAAAACTAAGACTCAACCAAACAAAAGCCAAAACAAAAGACACCATCCTATGCAAGTCAAGCCATACTCACAGCTAGAGTTAGAGACCCCAAAATTTATAAATTACACACGCCAGATAACATCGCAGAACCAATCCTCCAACACCCATTGATAAGAATTTTAGTTGAAAAGCACGATGGATTCACATTGTGCAAGAAAATGAGAAGAGAAAAAGAGAAACCAACCTTCGGATTCAGTTACCAGCTAACACGAAATTGGGGAGCGCGAAGGAAGTGCCAGTCTAAGTAGTGGTAGTAAGCGAAGGATTTAACGATGGGGCTAGTGCCTATTCACTAAACTTCCCCACTAAGTTCACGGAAAGTATTGCGTCTGTTAGTTTACTATCTGTGATGCTCTGCTCCGCTTGCGTTTTTCCGCTTTGCAATGCTCAGTACGATACAAAACGTTAGGTGTGTGAGTGTGAGCCTACTCTTTTCCCTTTTTCAATATTCCTTTCTTCTCGAGGAAGGGGTTGAAGGACCCAGCGAGAGAAAGCATCAACATCCAATCATAAGTTCATAACCCGGGACCCATCATCACATTAGATCTGCCTTTTTTCTTTTTTTTTTTTCCAGCTTAAATTCTTTAGTCCTTTAATTTCCGTATCCAAAACTAGCCGTGGACAGAAACAAAATCATGACTTTAAAATACTTTTATAATATATAAAAAGTTAAAATATATATTTAGTCATTTAATTTTATATAATATTTTAATTTAGTCATTTAATTTTAAAAAATATACTTTTAATCTTTTAATCGTAAATTTTTAAAAAAAGTGATTACATTAAGATTTTAAATGTTAATAAAACATTCTCAAATGCAAACATATTAAGTTTAATTTTTAAAAAAATTCATAATTGTTACAAAAAAAATCATTATCGAAGCCTAATGATTTTAGAGTTAAAGGACCAAATGTATGCTTTTTAAAGTTAAAGAACTAAATTAAAATATTGTACAAAGTTAAAAGACTAAATGTATATTTTAATCTGTATAAAACAACTATGTAAAAAAATTTATCTCGATTTGTAAAAAAAAATGATTTTAAAAAATCATTTTGGGTTACCCAAATACCTTATAGCAGAGTACAAAACAAATAAAAGTACAAGGCTATAATGAGATTTTTGTACAAAAGTACTTTTTAAAAAGATTTTTTTTTATTTACAAATTGAGATAAATTTTCACATATTTATTTTATATATTGTAAAATTATTTTTAAAATTACTGTTTAGTTTCATGACAAATACTTCCTAAGATCAATCATTATTAAACACAATTTGATCTATCTCTATACAAAAGTTGCCTTAGAGCGAGGTTTTCAAATCCAATCAGCCAGCCTCGGCCGCGCTAGCGAGGTTCACGCAACGCACTCAACAGCCAGATTTGCTGTCCTCTAAACTCGCATTATTTAGTGGTTCCTTATTAAATTCATGAAGGAAATAATAGTTTCAATTATTTGAATTCTACTATGTTATTTGAAGGGAAAATTAATACTACTTTTAGTTCTAATTATAAGAGCTAGTTGACTAATTTGAAGAGATTAAGAAAAGAAGTTAACTTAGTTATTTGTAATAAATATATGTTGTCTTTCTTAAAATATCATTGCTAATCAAGTATATTAACTAGAACTACTATTATTAAAAGGACTATTTTTAAAAAAAAAGCATAATATGAGAGACAAAGTAAACTGAGGTTTTATATTTAAAACCAAAATAAAAATCAAATAAAATTTTATATTAATGACCGGAGGTAGTACATTGGTGAGTACGTTTTCAGGTTGGCTATAAGTCTGTAACTATCTTTATAACTCAATTTTTCTAATGTTAACATTTTTTTTACTAAATAATTTTAATAATTTGAAATTTTAGTTTTTATGTTTGACGAAATGTATAAATGTATTTTTTAAAATATAAGGATTGATATTATAAAAGAAGAATTTCTTAAAAAGATATTTAAATAATCCAAATTTTTATTTGGGTTATTAAATTTGTCAAACCCCTAATCAAGTCACATGATTCGAAGAGGAATTTTAAAATTTTATAAAATAACTCTACAGCCTTTTTTATGAGACACCTAGAGAGATAAGGATTTTATAAGTCCAATGCCCCGTTTATTAGAAACTTAGAAAAATAAAGATTTTCTATCAAATTGTATAAGAGTTCTAAACGAGAAAAACTTGACATCTACCATTTTAAAGCTGGGAAATCAACTAAGAAAAAAATTATGAGTTAGTTTTTATTAAATCTTCCTCCCCCAATCTTGATAGTTTCATTTTACTATCTCCTTAATATGGATTTTTTTTGGGGGGGGGGGGGTTGTTAAGGAGGGAGGGAACATTGTAGCTGTGAAGTGTTGCGCTTAAAGCGAGTTGAAATATCCATATATGTGTGTGATGTGGGGTTTAGGGTGAATGTATAAATGATAAATGATTGCGTTTGCTTAGTCACGAAGATTCAATATGAAGAATGCCATAGGGTTATGTATGTTGTTAATAGCTAAACGGAAGATATTAAAACATGCTTTGAAGTTTTTAAAATTTAAAGGTGAATTTTGTTATTTTGATTGTAAGAAGTGATTATGATCATGACTATAAGAGTCATGTTTCTTTGTTAATAACTAAGTAAAATGTGTTAACATCTAATTTTTGAAAGTGGATTTTGTTATGTTGATTGTAAAAAATGATAATGGTCATGATTATGAGCAGCACATTTGTTCTTACTGGTTAAGCGGAATGGGTTAAGACCTAATTTGAAGTTGTTAATTTTGGAAGCTAGATTTTCTTTCGTTAATTGAAAAATTAACTTTTTACGACTAGGTATTATTTAGGTTAACATAAGAAATGAATCTTCTCGAGGGACATCCTAAACAAGAGGATTATTTTGATTTTTTTTTTTTTGCATGTTGATAGGTATTAGAGTTATTTTATAAAATTTTAAATTCTCTTTTTGGATCATGTGACTTGAATAGGGGTTTAACAAATGTAGTAATCTAAATAAAGATTTGGATTATTTAAGTGTCTTTTTAAAATTTCCTATATTCATTATGTCAAGTTCTATGATTAGACATGACCATGTGTTCTACTTGTTTAATATAAGTTTATAATTTAATGATAATATTTTAAAAATAAAACAATTTCCAGACTAAAAACTTTAACATAATGATGTAAATGATCTAAGTATTATCCATTGGCCAAAAAAAAAAAAGACCAAAGTATTATCTTATTTTAAATGATTAAAATTATAGAGATTGTGTTGCATTTATTTAAAATTTAAAGGAATTGAGTTTAACCTAATCAAAACTATAATAGTTGAGTTATACCAAGTTAAAATTTAGTAACTAAGTTATAGTCACATCAAAATTAGAGGGGTTAAAAAAAATTAATTTTTAGTCAATAACTTATAGTCTAACAGCATGAATGCTAGAAGTATGTGGGGCCATGGATTTGATCCATTTATAAATTAGTACTACTTTCAATTCTTAATACAACATCTAATTAACTAATTTAGAGAAATTAAAAAAATTACTAAATTACTTAATTATAACATATATTACATGATACCCCTAAAAGACTTATATATATATATATATCATTAGATTATATATTAATTTAGAATAGATTTAAAAAGTTTGTTAAGTTAGTTATTCGTCATAAACATGTATTGTCTTTTTTAAAATATATTTACTAATTATATATATTAACTAGAACTATCATTGGATGGATTCTTTAATATGGACAACTATTATAAGGATTACTTTTAAAAAATAAATAAATAAAAAAGACAAAATGAATTGAAGTTTAGAATCAAATTAAAAGGTCAAGTCAACTCTTATATTAAGTATGATAGTAATTAGTACTCTTCTAGTTCTAAATATAAAATTTGTAATATAAATTATACTATAAAATAATTGCTATAGCACAGGAGAAATATCATTTCACGTTAGTCAGGGCACCATGTATTCAGTTCAAGAGACAGTACAAGAATGAGAAAGCATGCAGGCGTAATTTCAATACAAACATCTCAGAACCAGTTAATTCAGCACCGGAGTAAGAACAGTAAAGTCAACTTCTTAAGAAATACTCACCGGAATTCTCGTCTCCGACGCCCACTTCGATCTGGTCTGTTTTCTTATCTCACGAACTGCGAAACTCTATGCATGTTGTTTCCGATTCACCCATTCCCAAACCTCGGTGTCGTTTTCTTCCATAGCTGATCCTCATTTGAACTGCGCTTTCCTCCTTCTCTTCAAGTAGATCTCAATCTTCATATCTTCCGCTCTGTATGCGACTTTGAAGTAATTTTTAAACATATACTGATATTTGTTATATTCATTCGTCAGGCACCAGATTTAGATGAAAGAGGAAAGAGTCTGACCCTTTTATGATCCTCTTCATCGTGATTCTCGCAGTCCCCCAATCTCCCGCCAATGGCTCATGACGGGTGCCAGAACAAGGGTTGGAATTTAACGACCAGGGAACAGTGCTGAAACGAACGCCGTTAAGTGCACCAGAAGCAATCTCAGCCGTTGGGTAGGAACTAATCTCAGCCGCCCAATGATTAGAGACGGAATTTTCATTGCAAAGACTCTCGACGTCTGAAACTGGTAGGGGGGAGCGACTGGCGAGCGTATTGCAACGCGGTATAGATGGCTGTGAAACGGTGACGGCATGGTGGTCCGAGGTGCCGACGGTAGTGGTTCTTGGATGATTTGCTGCGTTGACGTTGTGGTTGGTTCTTCGGTGGGTTGCGAAACCGGCGACGGCGAGGAAACTATTAAGACGGCGATTGAGCTCCAGCGAATGACGCATGGTGGTGGAGGGTGGCGGACGATGGGACTAAGACATAGTAGCATTATTAGATTATTATATTAAAAATCTTTGAAGAAGAGAAGAATTTGTTTGATTCGCATACCGGTGTCTTTCAAATATTTTCTTTCCCGTCTTTGAAGTTCTCTTGCCTTCATCCCCCGACAGTTCAGTAGTCTCTTCTATTTACATGGATGACAGCCAGATGGAAATTCTCGTGCATTCAAAACCCCTTTTTGTCGAATTCAGGATCTGTTCTCAACCACGCAGACATAAGTTCCCTTCTCTCAGCTTGCGGGAGAGATGGAAATCTTCAACTTGGTGCTACAATCCATGCCCGCATCATCAAGGAGAGACGGCCTTTTGATTTCAGAAGCTCGAATGGTATCCGCAATGCCCTATTCATTTGGAATTCTCTCCTTGCTATGTATTCGAAATGCGGTGAAATATTGGATGCCGTTAAGCTGTTCGACCGTATGCCTGTGAGAGATACTGTATCTTGGAACACAGTGATTTCTGGGTTTTTGAGTAACAGGGATTTTGACTCGGTATATAGTTTGTTTAAACAGATGCAGCAGTCGGAGCGTGAGCGATATGATAAAGCATACTCTGCAACTGCTATAGCTTGTGATGGTGAGTCTTCAGGTCTAAATGAGTGATCAAATAAGGTTTAGGTATTTGTAGGTGGTTTTGAGCTGGAAATTTCAGTGGGAAATGCTCTAATAACGTCGTATTTCAAATGTGGTTGTTTTAGTCATGGAAGGCAGGTTTTTGATGAAATGCCTGAAAGGAATGTTATAACCTGGACGGCAGTGATGTCAGGTCTTGTACAAATGAATTATACGATGATAGTTTAAAATTATTTTCTCAAATGCGGTGTTCTGGATCAGTGAACCCTAATTATTTGACATATTTAAGCTCGCTTACTGCTTGTTCAGGTTTACAAGCGTTGAAGGAAGGGCGTAAAATTCATGGCTTGCTCTGGAAATTAGGAATGCAGTCGGGTTTGCTCATTGAAAGTGCATTGATGGATTTGTATTCAAAATGTGGCTGTATAGAAGCTGCGTGGAAGATTTTTGAGTCAGCTGAAGAACTGGATGTGGTTTCCTTGACTGTGATACTCGTAGCTTTTGCTCAAAATGGGTTGGAGGAAGAAGCTATCCAGATTTTTATGAGAATGGTGAAGTCAGGGATTGAAATTGATCCAAACATGATTTCAGCTGTTCTGGGGGTATTTAGTGTTGACACTTCTTTGGCTCTTGGCAAGCAGATTCACTCCTTAATCATTAAAAGAACTTTATTCATAATACTTTTGTTAGCAATGGACTTATAAATATGTATGCCAAGTGTGGAGATCTTTCTGACTCGCACCAAGTCTTCTGTCAAATGGCCCAGAAGAACTCAATCTCATGGAACTCCATGATTGCAGCTTTTGGTCGCCATGGGGATGCTTGTAGAGCAACTTCAACTGTGAAGAGAAGATGCTCCCAAGGTATAGCTCCCACAGATTTACATGCTTTGTTCTAGTTCATGCTTGAGGCAGGCTTAGTTGATGAAGCATGATAAAAGAATGATAACTCCTGCATGATGCCTCACTGCATGTTCGATCAGAACAAGCTTATTTTATGCATCGGGACATGTTGGGTAGGGCAGGAATGCCCTTATTGGAAGCTAAAACTTTAAGCTACCTTGGTGCTTGTATTGGTTTGGCAAGCATTGCTTGGTGCTTGTGGCATACATGGTGATTCTGGATGGGTAATATGCTGCTGATCAGCTCCATCTCGCCGCACCCGATAGCCCAGCTCCTTACATTTTGATGTCCAATATATACTCTACTGAGGGGAAATGGAAGGCAAGGGCAAAAACTATTAAGAGAATGAAGGAGATGGGAGTAGCGAGAGAAGCAGGCATGAGTTGGATAGAGATGGAGAATAAAATCAATAGCTTTGTTGTGTGGGACAGATTGCACCCGCAAGCTGATATCATATATTGCACTTTATCTGGTTTGTTGAAACACTTGAAAGATGAAGGATATGTCCCTGATGGGGTACATTCTTCATCACTTGGGTCAGGATTTGAAAGATTAGACGCTGCTTTTATTCTGACTGTTCAATGTCTGGTGAGGATGATGGTGATGTTTAGAGGGTAAGCCAGCTCGCACATGTTTTCTTCTGGTGAATCGTTCACAGGCAATTTATGTGGTTTGGTTTCTGCTTGTCATAACGAATTTTGATGGTGCCACAAAACCCAATTCAAATCCTGTGTTCTGGGTACATCTACTTCCACTCAAGAAGTATCCTAATTTTATTTTATTTTTAGGAAAAATCTAAATTATACTCAAATATTGTTCTCTTTAACAATATTGAAAGAAATTGTTAATAAAAAAAAATCTACAAGACTCGTTGACAAGGAAAAAAAAATGAAATCTTTGTATTAATTATAGTGAGTTGAACAAAAATGAAATTAAAGAACAATAAGTGAAACACTAAAACTTAAGATTCTTTTTTTTAAAAAAAAAAAAAGTGGAGCCAGACGAAATTAAGGAATGAAAGTTGAGATAAAGTTGAGCAACTAAATTAGAACCGATTAAATTAAAAAAGCAAAAGTAAAACCTAAGCAAAATGTTAGAGAATTAAATAGAAGCTACATAATTTAATGAAGACTGGAAGAGAGAAGTGTAACTTGAAATAAATTAAGTGCATGGTATCAGATATGTCTGAATATGTTTATTACTTCTCCTGAAATATATTATATAAGTGCCGTATCGAGATATTCAAGAAGCAGATATTACATTAGTCTAAAATTCTAAAAGTGAAGCATATGGTAGTTATAATTGAATATTGCTGATCAGAGGTATAGTTGTCGGAAAGAAGATTGCAGAGCCGTGGAGACAGCAAGCCAACCATTTTGAGAAGGATGAACATTGTCCCAGAAGATTGACTCCTCTGCTTTCTCACATACTTTGTATTGCTTCTCTCCTTTCTTATCCACGATCCCACACCCCCCTCCTTTCAAACCCACACAACATGGCTCTAATGGATTCATCAACGTTGGATTTCCTGTAAAACAGAACAAAATTTAAGATAAATTATGACGGAAGTCTTCTGTTCCTAAATATAAGAGCTAGATAACTAATTTATGAAAATTATATTAGATAAATTAGTTATTTATAAATAATAAGTGTTGGTTTTCTTAAAATATTCTTTGTCTTTTAACCATTTGTGCTGACTCTCATTGGCACTTCAAGTCTCAGGATCAGTTAGGATCGACTTGAAAAAAAAAAGCACTTTTACTAGGAGGTAAATATGAGGTAGAAGCTTCATTATAAAATTGCCTTCCCCCCCCCCCCCCCCAAAAGTGAAGGCAAACTGGCTCTTCAATTTTTTCCCTTCATTTTCAGAAACAGATAACGACAATTACTTATATATAGATACAACATACTACTAATCAAAATAAATCGTGAGAATTAAAGAACAGAGAAAGTTGGAGAACAGACCAGCACGTTTTTTCTGCAAGGTAGTAATAGTGTTGAGGAAGGCACTATAGAGATCTAGAGTTATGAAAACTGGTTGTCCTGAAGCTGATGATTGATTCTTGTTCAGGTCTTTGACTTTCTGAACAAGTAGATTGTTGTGATAATTTGCCAGTGTGTTTGCTTCATCACTGCAATTCTGATATGAAGAGGTCACTGATTCAAGTGGCAAACATCCCAAAGGTGCCACTAACCCTACTGCTATTTTGTTCACTCCCAGACTGTGAATTCTCTCCAGATTCACTGAAATTTGATTCACAAGTGACTCAGCAAAGGCTGGTAAATCCTGGAACAGGAAAATGCATAATTTAGAGTTTTTTTGTTTTCCTCTTAATGCAACTATCTAATATCTGATGCTAATGGATTAGATGATTCGAGTGTTATCGGACTTAGGTATGACTATGTCTTGCCAATAGATAGTTTGATTTTTTGATTGAGTTCTTCGTGAGTTGCACTTGAGCACTCTGTAAAAAGGGAAATTGCAGGAATCCAATGCATTATCACAAGTTAATTTTTTCAAACTTAATTTCCAATAGAAACTTTGTTGTAAGCAGATTACATATATTTTCTCATACTTTTAAAATTTTAAACAAAAAACTCTTTTTTTTTTGGGGTAAAGGTTAAGCATTTTTTCCTATGCTTTGCATAAATCTAATGCAATAGCTAAACTTTCATAGCTTATGAATAACAAAAACATGCATCAGATTCTATCATATTAAATATAGATACTGATATAGGTAAAATTCGTGTAATTTCAACAACACTCGTATACACATATAGAACATTTGTGTAGTGTACTTTTTTTATCTTCAAGAACCAAAATAAAAAGTGAATGTGCAATTCTATTAAGAGATATCGGTGTTATTTTTTATCTTTAAAAGATATATGTATGTTTTATTATTTTAAAAAAATGTGATTTTAATAATTTTATCAAAAGATCTCCATAATTTGTACCTCTAATTTAGAAAAGATCAGAAGGTATATAAAAGTTATTTATTCTTCTTCACTCTAAGTAGCTTAACTACCTATCAAACTCGGACAAAATAAAATATTATGTGTAGCAAATCAACTATCAACAAAACGGCGTTAACAGTGAGAAACACAAGTAGCTTAACAAACTATATTTCAAACTCAAACAATACGATATTTGCAATACGACATCAGTTTTTTTCAAACAGTTTTTTAGGATCTTATTTGACTTGACTGACTTTTTGTAACTTGTAAACTTATACTCCTTCGGTCCTTAATATAAAACTTATTTAACTAATTTAATTAGATCAAGAAAGTTACGTAAGTTAGTTAATTATAAGAAATATGATACATTTTTCCTAAAACACTATAATCATCTTTCTTAATATCTCCTTTCTCTCTTCTACTTGATTATGGTTGAAAGAGTATTTATAGGGGTAATTTAGAAAAAATTGATAAATATGATAAATGAGTTTTATATTTAGAATTAAAATCAACTTAATAATTGGGTCCTATATTAAGAACCGGAAGAGTATTATTTAATATCATTTTGTCTTTTTCTCAAAAAAAAAAGTACAATACAATATTTACAATCAAGAAGCTCAATATTTTCAGGTCTCGTGAATAATCATGTTAAAAAGCTTTCTCTTAATAGAGGTCGAACCCACCTGGAATCTGAATTAACGGATAGACAATAATGTTGGGAAAAATCTTCTTCCCAATAGGGAGCCAACCCGCCAATGATATTAGATGATTTATCATACAACAATAATAACAAGTCTAACTAATACGTATGATTAACAAAAGTATTCTAGAAAATTTAACTTATATTTGTTATAAATAACAAATTTAACAAATTTTCTTAATTTACTTAAATTAATGAGCGGGAGTAGCATTATTACCTCTGATCCTAATTATAAGAGCTAGTTGACTAATTTGAGGAGATTAAAGAAATAAGTTAAGTTAGTTATTTATAATAAATAGGTGTTGTCTTTCCTAAAATATCCTTACTAATCAAATTTATTAGCTAGAACTACTATTATTAGAGAAACTACCTTAGAAAAAATACATAAATATAAGAGACAAAGTAAATTGAGGCCTTATAATTGGATCAAAATAAAAATCAAATAAAGTCTTTTATTAAGGATAAGAGGTAGTATCTTATAACTAACATGAAAAGCTCTCTATGCTAACTGATGTAAAAAGTCCTCCCTACAGTAGTTACCTTTTCAAAAGATTTCATGTTGCTATCTGTCTAATTTACCTCACCCAAATGATTTACCCTAAAACATGAAGGAAAAAAACAAAGGTAAATATAGAAATCACTTAAACCAATACTCACCTTGGTGGATCCATTTTTGACTAAGAAAGTGTCATAATCATTGGAAGCGGCATTGACAAGAGCAATGGAGGATTGAAGGTCTTGTTTGGTGAACACATTTTGTTGAAGTAACTGTTGGAACAAGTCAATTTGGGTGGTGACGTTTGGTCCATCCACCATTGTCTGAAACACACCAGTCCCTCCATGACCAAAGTTCATCCCATTTCCTATCACTGATTGGTTCACAGACTTCCTTTGTTCATATGGCACTGGTGATGTTATGTTCATATACGAAGCTGCTTGAAGCCATACACATACATTCATAAATACATACATGCACACATACTATTATCTGTCATGAATGTTTCAAATAAAACATGGCTCTCGATCCTTAATATAAGAGCTGGATAATTAATTTAGAAAGATTAAAAAAATTAATTAAATTACATATTTGTAACAACATGTGTAATGACTTTTTAAATTACCCTTATTCAATTATGTACAGTAGAATTATACTTGGGTGGAAATATTTTACAATCAATAGGAATATTATTGAGAATACATTGTAAAATTAGAAGGCAAAATGGATTAGGATTTTATATTTAGGATTGTCAATCAGCTCTTTTATTTAGGACCAAAGGTGGTAAAAGTTTTGACTTTGACTTCTATTGGTGGTGATGTGTTCATAAACGAAGTTCCTTGAAGCCACACATATACATCCATATATACGTGCGTGCCTAGGTATGTATATACACATGAATATGAGCATATATGTTTAGTTTGACGTTGAAAATAATAAAAATTATAATTTTTATAAAATTATGCAGACTTTGCTTGTTTGAAAGCAAACATAGAGACGAGTTCATTTTTTCTGTGTGTGAAAGGGATAATAACACAATTTTCTGAAAAGATTATAATTATCTTTCTAATATATATGCAAACCAAATATGAATGCTATATTTTCCTTGTTATTTCAACTCTTCTGGCTTCACTTTTCGTCCAAAAAATTCCATGCCTTTCACACATATTGATTTAGTTTGATCTATTTTCAAAACTTACAAATACATTTTTTTAAGAAAACTTAAAATAAACTACATGTAAATCCATTAATACTTGTTCATTTTATAGAGGTTATTCGTTTTATTTTAAGAATATAAACAAAATTTTGCCTGCATTGGTCTTCTTTTCTATCTTCGGAGAAAGATTGTGCATATCTTTAAAATAGAGATAGAGCAAAGATTTATATAAATTCAATAAAAATATTGATAGAAAGTTATGTACTTATTTTTTTATTTCACAAAAAAAAAGTTTGGATGTGATTTAACATAATAACTGTAAAGCATTGATTGGCAAAGAAGAAGAAAAAAAGGGGAACGTATACTTTATTTTGTTTAATAATTAAGAACTCAAACAACGGCCAACCAGTCAAATTAATTGAGGAAAACAGTACAAGACAATTAAAGCTTTTGTCCTTCAGATAGTAAAAGCAATCAATGGAGTAATAAATTCATGTCCATCACCCGTGAAATTAAACCCGTTTCCCTCCTTACATATCTAGTTTGATAAGATCGTTTGGTGAAGAAAATAAAACTGCTACCAGTTTAGTTGATTCGAGAAAAGAGATTTTTTTTTTTAAACTAGAAAGGGAAGAAGAAGAGAATAGGGGATTTGATATTTGTTTTTATGAAACTGAGTACAAAATTATATGACTGAAATTTTTGGATCGAGAAGAGTTTGATGCGTCTCAAGTTTAAACTACTTCCTCTAATTCTAAATGTAAAAACTAGATTTTAAATTGGATAATTATTTATAAAAATTATGACTTGATTTTTTTTAAATACACTTTTAATAGTTTGTATTGGAAAGTAATGAAAAACCTCCTTAATTGAGATCTTATGTTTCTTATATTTAAAATTAAGGTCTTGTTAAAAAGGTATACAAAAAACAATTCTAAAAAAGTGTAAAATTTTCTTCTAAATTTTTTGTAACAAGATGAGGGAGATGGAGTGTTTAATTTCAAATTTTCAGAAAAGAAAACTACATTACCTAAATAATCAGAGAGAACACGACCATCACAGAACCTGCCGGCCGGTGTACCGGGAAAAGTGACGCCGTAGGGAGGCTTGAATGACGGAGAGTTTAAGAAATTGCCGGTGTCCACATAGGAATCTCCAAAAACAAACAGCTTTTTCTCTGATCCTTCGATCACTGCAACATAAATTCAGGCAAATAAAACCACATAATCAATAACATGGTCATGTGAATATATATATATATATATATATTTATATAACTGAAGCTTTTGGGATATTTTTCAGTATTACCAGTGAAAATGGCAGAGAGACTAAGCAAGACAGAAGAGAGAGAAGAGTCTGATAAGTTTGGTTCGCCATTGATGATGCTTCAGAAACAGAAGATGATGATGTTTGAGGAGTTGGAACTTTATGGCTATGCTTTATATATGTGAAAAGGTTAAGAGGCTTTATATTTAATCGGGTGGGGGGGAGGAGATAGACAATTTTTTTTTCTCTGGCCGGGAGATAGACAAATATTAATTGTGCATATCTGCATTAATCAGGTCATATATATACACATATAGATATTCTGCAAAGACTAATTAATTATTGAATTATCAGCATCAAATTTTTGAAGAGGTTTGTTTGTTTTTTTTTTTTTGAGCAAGTTTGTTTTATTTTTTTTTATAAGCATTAATTTGGATTTGTATAATCATTTAATGCATTTCTTCTTCTTCTTCTTCTTTTTCTTTTTAATTTTTACTTCTAATTAACTATATGTTTCTCTCCTTTTTTTTCCTACTCATTCTCCCTCCCATTTACCCTTTATGTAAATAAGGTAATCTAGGAAAATAAGTTGCATTTTTTTAACCTATTTATTGTCTTTAACCAATTTTTTTAACCAACTTCTTGAATTGGGCAATATAATCATTTAATGCGTATATTTTGAACTAGAAGTAGTGTATAATTAATGGGTTATTATTCAGAAGGAATTCATTTTTCTGGGGCTTATATTTGTTGCTCTTTCGTTAATAGAAGTTACATTCAAATAAGATTAATTAAAATGTTCGGAGCTTTTTGCTCAAAAAGCAAAAAGTTCTGAGCCACCTCATACCAGCTCTAGGCCTCCAGTAGCAATGTTCTTAGAATTGGATTGGGAGACTAGAGTACGGGTTTAAGGTTTTTATTTTGGGGCCAAATTAGGAATATTTGTTCAAATCTAGTTTACATTAAGATTATATTAAAGGTATTTGTTGTTTATTCTAAATCGCCAAAATCGTTTAATATGTCAGATTAATTGTTCAACTAAACGTGCCAAGCTTCTATAATGAACCAAAACTACTAATAAATCTCTCTTTCTCTCTCTGTCTCTCTCTCTCTCACACACACATAAAACTTTGAAGAAATAGTCAAAAGATAATAAAAAGCACAAAAAAATAGTTTTGAATTATTGAATTTTTTTAAAAAATAAAAAACCAATTCAAGATTGTTTTCCCACTAATTTTTATCAGTTTTAATGGGTTTAACCAATTTTCTACCCATTCACTTTTTGGCTTGTCCTGGTAGTATTTTGTATATTCCTACTGCTTGAACTACCCAGTTCAATCCAATCTCACGGCATTGTCCAATATCAAGAATATAATAGGATATATGAATAGAGGTTCAAGATTTAAATCCTTCTAATTATATTATAAGATCTCATAAGCCAACTAACATGCTTGATAATGGGCAATCAACATTTCTTTTGGTTCAAGAAAAGTTTATGAGTTGAGGTTTTGGGGGCTCAAGATTAAAACAAAATCTCACAGATCAAGGAATGCTTAATTCAAACCATGTGTGACAATTTTGTGAATTTAATTACCTATTATAGTTAGGAAAAATTGGGGATAAATCCCATATTAAAAATTTAATTGGCAAATAGGACCTAAGAATTCTGTGCAACTTAATTTCTTTTATGTGCAACTTATCTTTCTTTGTGTGCAATGTATCTTTCTTTGGTGCAATGATTTTTCTTTCTTTGTGTGATGTACAACTCAATTTCTTTTTGTGCAAATAAAATTTTATTATATGCAAGTCATCTTCCTTGTGTGTAAACTAATTTCTTATATGCAAATAATGTTTGTGCAAACTATCTTCTATTTGTGCAACTTATCATCATTTGTGTGCAACTAATCTTTTCTTGTACAATCAATCATCCTAGGTCCTATTTGCTAATTAAATTTTAATGAGGGATTTATCCCTAATTTTCCCTTATGGTTAATCCAGAAAGTTTTTTTCTATGCACAAGAAATCAAGTTGTTCTGAATATGATTTTTCAAAGAAATAATATTGATCGGTTTGTCATATATTTATGAGGAATCCATTAATTTTACATTCATATGATCAATATATTTTTCTTTAACTCCTATAATTTTAGAAAACAGAAGGTCCACTATGGGTTGATACGGGCGACCTAACAAGGTTAGATGGTAGATGAAAGTGATGAGTCATATATCGTGTCTCTAAGTTGTCAAATTATTTTTTTTATGTTTGGAAAACAATTTCTTTAATATTTGTTACTACTTGAACAATAATCTGATAAGGGTACAAGAAAAAAAAACAACAATAATATCAATACGAAATTGGGATTATGAATTATAAAATGGAGTCAAGATAGAAACTGGTTCAAGAAAAGGACGATGGGGAATGATGAAGAAATTAAGGTGCAAATTAACTTCCCTTCTTTTTGGCAGATTCGCTCATAATGGTAAGTAATTGGACTAAGACGCCACTCTACTCGAAGGTGCTTTGCAGAAGGAAAGGTAATCGCATATAAGTTGTTAAATTTGTTTGAAAATATGAAAATTTTTAAATTTACCCACATTCAAAACTATTGATTACATGTTGAAAGGCCAAAAAAAACAAGAAGAAGAAGAATGTATCAAATTTTAATTTGGGGCAACCTTAAAAAAATATACTTCCTTTTATCCTAAATATAAAAACTAGTTATTAAAAAATATACTTTCTTATCATAAATATAAAAACTAGTTATTTCTCATATTTATTATTTTTTGACAAACTAATTTACTTGACTTATAAATTGATATACTCCTCCGGTCCTAATTATAAGACCCAATTTGACTTTTTATTTGGTCCTAATTATAAGACCCAATCTATTTTCTCTCTTATATTTTTACATTTTTTTCCAAGATAATCCTTCTAATAATGATAGTTTTAGCCAATATACTTAATTAGCAAGGATATTTTAGGAATAACAACACTTATTTATTATAAATAACCAACTTAACTTACTTCCTTAATCTCCTCAAATAAGTCAATTGGGTCTTATAATTAGGACCGGAGGAGTATTAATTAATATTACACAGGATATTTTAAAAGAAAAAGCAAAAATTGGGAATAAATACCCCATTGAAAAATTAATTAGCAAATGGAATCTAGAAAGATCAGTTACACAAAAAGAAAATCAGTTGCACACACACGAAAGATTAGTTGCTCAAACACAGAAGATCACTTGCACACAATAAAAGTTCACTTGTACAAGTTCTTTAGATCTCATTTGTTAATTAATTTCTTAATGGGTATTTTTCCCGAATTTTCCTTAGAAAAAATCATATCAAATTTGTTATAATTAACTAATTATTTGACTTCTTTAATCGATCCAAATAACTTAAATAGTTTTTATATTAAGTATAATAATTAATACATTGACGACTTATAATAAGAACCACTCATTTCTTCTAGAAATTGTCCTGCAATAAGTGGGGTATATCTATTACATGAGGAAATAAGGAACAGTAAGGAAGTTGTGAGGATCACTCCAACCCCAACCATTTATCGTCCCTCATGACAAGGGAAAATTGTAGCGAGTCCCAAAAGCCACGGCAACAATCCAGCTTAAAGTTGGCACCTTTGTCAGCTAGATTTCGCTTTCAGCTTGAACACTACAAATTCTAGTGTCACCGAAAGGCATAGCATGCTTGAAAAGTAGACACTGGAAAAGGGTCAGAAATAGAGCCCGAGCATTAAATGCCAATTGTTTGGAACCTATAAATACATCACAAACAACAAAAGAGCCTGTCCTAGCTTTGATTATAAATGCTGTGTTTCCATTAACCATGCATCCCAAACATCCTTAGCATTGGTAAATAGTACCCTAATGAAACATGCTGCTAGCTCCATCCCTCTCATTGTAATGAATATTCGGATGCACTCATTATACGAAGCTTGGGCAGACTGGCCCCTCGGAAAGACCAAGGCGAACTTCCATTCCATGGTGCATGTCTGGTGGCCGGAAAGATTCAGATTCTCGGGGATCTGCAGGCAACAAAAATGAAACTGAGAATGGGGGAGACAGGGAAAAACAGTGCTGTGATTAGAATGGAGAGCAATATATCACTGTCCTAATATTTTAGTAATCATTTAGTTCTAAGGGAAAGACTGCACTTTAGATGTTTTGTTTCCAAAAACAAAAGGGGGCAAAAGTGACAAATGAAGAATTGCCTAACAATCTAGAATGCCACAGTAACATTTTCAATCCTCACAGTCTTTCTCATCTCTTATTTACCAATAGCGTTAAAATGTAGACAATCCTTTATTCGGAGGGTCGAGAAACTTGGAAACTTCAATAAGTAAATAAACTACAAGCAAACGAAACAAAAAAGATGTGGGCTGATCATATTATTACCATTAAGATAATCCTCAAAACAAATGTGATCAAGAGTTCCGGTATAAGCTTCAAAACCCAGCACCGAAGATGGAATAGCTCCTGGAGGTCTCTGGAATCTACGAGAGACAGTAGCAATAAGCACATAAAATATGCAGACAAAAGCCACTAATAAGATGGAGCCCATACGAGGAACTGGTGTAAGGATGACAAATCACAGCAAATAGCCAAGACAAGTACAGCATAAAAAATCACGCGAGAATTAATTCCAACCCACTTAATCTTTCTTTGCAGAGCAACCAACGCTTGTTTTCTACGGTTTAGCGTTTTTCTTTTCATTCAGATAAAGACAAATGACCCTTATATACCTTAAACTCACAAGCACAGTGCTTACTTCGAGAAGAAAGAAGGTGAAATATGCAAAGCTTTCAACTCAGACAATATGGTAACATTACTGGCTACTGCCCCACCCAGGGGCAGAAGTCAACAGTTCTGCCAGGCTAAGGCTGCCAGACCATGGAAGTTTCAAGGCAGAAATATCTTAACTGCCATGCCAGAACGCATCTCACTGGCCAAGAATTAGGTCATGTGTGGGCCTGTAGGACTTAGTGCAAAGACAAGGCCCTATATCAGCTCATATGGGTTCACCATTTCTTACAATGGCAAATTGCAGACAGTATGAATCCACAATAGCCATAAAAATGAATTTATCAGAACTCAAGCCACAATTCCTTCTCTAACCACGCTAAAAGAATATTCACGTTCTCTAATTCTCGATGCTTCTGGAATAAGGACACGTGCTTTTGTATCCAATTTCAGTATCTTGTTTTAAGAATAGAAGAGTACAATTTGGCCTTCTTTTAATCTTTAATTTGATGCGGAGAATGAGATGATATTAAATAAAAACCTGTTAAATTATAAATCACATACAACATACATATGTTTTAGTGGAAAATTCAGGGTTAGACATAACATTCCAAAGACAGGCAATAGAACAACACATATTTCACATTAGAAGAAAATTCAATTTAAATTAGCTGTCCAAACAAGGGTCACATGAGCATATGGATACATTTCAGAAGAATCTATATTTTCAAGAAAAGATACAGCATCATTGGAAAAATACAGATTAAAGACCTGCTATGGGAAACATCGAATAACTATCCCAAGATGCAATTTGACACTTCAAAATATTTCTATATCAGCATATTATTGGCAGAGGATGCATTCAGAAAAACTGGAAAGTATTTGTTTACAAGAGTTTGTATTTTGTAATGTAGATTAATTTAAGTCACGTAAACTTAATTGACTTGAAATCCCATTTAACTCACCATTCTGATTAATGTGAATCAACCTTATATAATAAGGCTCTCTTCCACATGCACCAAAGAACAGAACATTATTAACCCACAATGCCATAGGTTTGATATTCTTCACATGTTAATCATTGCTTTATAAGAATATAAATAAGTTGTCGTATAAATTTTTGTATCATGTCTTATTGACCTATACCATGTGGTTTCTTATTGCCTCGAGTTTATGTTTGCCTCACAGAAACAGCAGGAGTTTGAAAGGGCACAGAATTAGGCACGATCAAGTTCACAAACACCAGTAAATCAAAAATAGATTGGGGGATGGGAAGAAGCTACAGTTTCAACTGACCAAACTTAATCAGGTTCGTACCACTAAAACAAAAATAGCGGGGCCATGGAGAGGGGCCTACAAGGACCGACTAGACAACATATCCTTGCCCTTGCCAGCTATCAGTTCCAAAAAAAAAAAAAATTCAGAAGAAACTAATTGCTTCAGATACACGCTGCAACAAGTTCAAAAGACACCATCAATATCGTACCTAGAAAGTATTTGCCTGTCCAGGTCCATCTTCAGTGGAAAAGCAGACCCATATGTATTGATAATGCACTTCCTCTTCATTGTTTCCTGTGTTCGCCTTACCTAAAAATAACAGAGCGTAGAAACTTTATTAGAGAGTAAACCATGATCAATACCAAGACTTCTACAATTTTCATCAGAAAAAACAGGCAAGCACAATTGACATTACTACACTTTGTAGTCTATTTCAACCCCAATGGTTAATACTAATCAGAAATTTCCAACTTTTCAAACCACCAAGTTCTTCATAACAATGATTGAAGTAAGTTGCAATAATAGAAAGCCTATTTGCAGAGAAAATCTCAATAGGGAACAAATCAACGACATTCAAATTATATTGAACCAGCAAAAGCCCAAATAAAAGGGTAAAAAGTGGGTCATATGAAAATCCAGCTGTGACCCAGGTGATACAGCTACAAAACCCCAGGCAAACTGATTATCGGAACTTCCAACACAGCATCCCATCAAAGAATTCCAGAGTAAGAGAAGAGAAAATGATTACGGATTTTTGAGCGGATTGAAGAGGATGAGATCCAATGATGTCACTCTTGACGCCCTGAAGTCCAGAACGAAGTGTGTCATTTTGGAGCCCTCCAATTTGGTGTGTGATGTTCTTTGGCACTCCCTCCATGTTTGCGTCTTCTGCCTCTGCAACTAGTCAGCTCAGCACAAGCTTCTGTATCAAGCAAAGAAAAAGCAAAAATGAAAATTGATTTACGAATTATTTATTGGTTGAGAAAAGAAGCCAATGACATCGTCTTTTATTCTTGCTGCTCAATTCAACCTCAGCCCCAGGGTGAACATTGATTTATCATTGCTCTTACAATTTACACAAGAGTTCAAGGGACTCTAGCAATAACGTTCATGTCAACTCACTTAAATTTTCTCATAGGTCTAGCTCAAAGCAAGAAATTTCACATCCTCAAAGGCTCAAATCACAAGCTTAATGACCTTGATTTTGTTGCTAGTAACTCAGAAGTAAGAGATGATTCTTGGGGGAAAAAATGGGATCTAACAGTAGCTTGTCAAAATCAGATGTCAGCAGGAATGTCTTTTATTGCTAGAGCTCGAATCAAGTGGCTAGATGAGTATGGATTTGTAGAGATCCCAAGTTCAAATTCTTAACACTTCCCAATGCATCAATATGGAAAAAGGGATTGTTCTTGACACAATAAGTAGAGCGCAAATTCACTCTACAAAGGTGTTACAATACAAGAAAGACTTCCCCCAAGATTTAAAATTCACCTAGCTCCCACATAGAAATAATTAGAAATCATTGAAGCTTGCGTTTTATTGAAATTTACACTACACCCATCTTCTTCCATAAATCTTGTCCGTGGACCACCAAATCCAAGAGGCTTTTAACACAAGAGCATGCCATGGAATACTCAACACTCAACAACTAAGGTCTTATTCAAAACTTAGCTTTAAATTTAGATTAAAATATATTTCCCTTTTCACCCTTCAAATAACAAATGATAGACATTAAGCTAACAATCAACAGCTATATCACCCACCCAATATAACTCCAAAGCACCATTTTTCAACACACTGGCAGCCCTGAGCACAGAAATATCTCCCAAAGAGTCTAAATGCCTTCAATGAAAAACAGTACAGAGGCTGGTTCAGAGATATAATCAGTTGATGCAAGAATGGAGAAATCAAAATGAAAAATATAGAATAGGGTCTCCTCACGGTTGCAATTCGGCATGCACTAATGGAATGGTTTGCTGTTGTGGACTGAAGCTTTAGTAAAATAAGCGAAAGAAACATAAAAGGAGAACACTGAAGGAAAGAAATGGCTCTACCACTAAGTTACCAAAACTAATCAATCAAATTATTGGCTGTGAGGGAGTTGGGATAATGAGCCCAAAAAATCTAATGGCCGCAACAGAACTAAGGGGGTGTTTGGATGAAGGCAAACCACGGTTTGGAGAATAGCTTATGGAGAATAGATTCTGGAGAGAATAGATTTTGAAAGAATAGATTTTCTGAAAAAGTGATTTTGATAAAGTGAGAGTGTTTGGATAGTTGTTGTCAGAAGTGCTTTTTTATATGTAAAAATTACTAAAAAGGACATCAGTTTAAATGATAATTACATATAAGATATATTTCATAATATATGTTTATTTGAAATAATAAATTTGTTAATAATATATATTTTAACAACATAATAAATAAGGCATAAATAATATAAATAAAAAAATTAATACGTATAAATATTAATAAAATAATTAAATATGTTTTTTGTAAAATAATTTATTTTGCCATTGTGTACTCAAGAGACTGGTTCTAGCAAAACTTTGATAGCGATCATGCTTCTTCGAAGTTATGCATATCTTTTTCACAAACCTTCCTCTTTTGTCGCCGTATTTTTATATGTAGAAAATAGAATTGTTACTTGTGCATTGTTGGAGCCTCTGACAACACCCACTTTTCTGCCTCAAAAGCCAACCCCCGCATGCTTGTTCTCAAACCAAGGTTTTCTTGGCCAAAACCAAGGTTTTGCCAGAAACCTTGGTTTAAAAAAAAAAGAGGGTGTTTGGCAAATTTTTTCTCAAACTATGGTTTGAGAAACTAAACCATGGTTTGGAAAAAAAGCCAAACACCCCCTGAAAAGACTTCAACCCTTGAACTTCCGCATAAGAATAAACTCAATTTTACTTGGATTTTCGTACGTATCATAAGGTTAACACAAAGGAAAACAGAACACCAAAATATTGACATACCAGGAGAATGAAATTCCGTAGAAGATTTCTCCAAGCAAGAAGGCCTATGGTTTATAAAATGATTACTCAGTTGAACCAAAACACGCATAACTGAAGCCTTAAAAGTCTAGTACTTGGCTCCTTCTCCAGCAAACGGACCTCAAATATAAAATGCCCACATCTTATGAGAAAACATAGTCAACTGAGGTTGCTCTAAATGTTAAGCGCGTCGTCTCCTCCTCTGTTAATCAGATCGATAAAATGAACGCCTTACCCTCAAAGCGAACATAAGGTAGCAGAATCAGAAAGCTTTCACCAATAACTAGAAACAGAAAATAATCATCGCACATTTGTCTTCCCACAATTTAGAAGCAAAATACACAATCAACGTTATCAACAGAAAGAATGCGATGAAAACACAGGAAAACAAAGCAAAAGTAAACCAAAACGATGACCTTACCGATGTTCTTCTGTATCAAGAAACTCCACACTTGGACCTGGCTTCGCGATGGTGAAGACGATGGCTGCTTAAACAACCCAAAAAAAAAAAAAAAAAAGAAATTTTATGGAAAGTAATTTATTATTTAAATTTTATAAACAAATAAAACTATTTTATGATCCTAAAATTGATTGAGTATTTACTAGTTTTCATATTTTATAATATTTCCATGTATATTCTTTATTTTTATTTTTTGCATATAGTACATTTAATTATTGTTAATAATTTAATCAAGTTAAATTATAAAAATTGTTAGAAATATAATTTTTATTTATATTTAAAAAAATTGAACATCTTAAAATTTTTTTTAAGAATGATTTTCCCAAAAACGTATTTTTTTTTAATTTGAAAAACTATAATAAACAAGAACAGTATACCTTTATGCCTAGAAGAATAAATTCATAGGGAAATATATTTAACAGTTAAATCATAAAACTATTCTTTTCATATCATAGAGTGAAAAACTCTTTATTATTTTGTATAAAAACTATCATTGTCTTTTGTATATATATTAAACAAAACCTACCAATGAACTAGCTTAGTGACTTGTAAAAACTTTTGTATATATAGTAAACTAAACCTATCAATGAGCTAGCTTAGTGACTTGTAAAAACTAAAAGCTAACATGCATAAATATGTTTTAGTTGTATATGCTGAAAGTGAAATGTGAAAATATAATTGGTAAACTTGGCCGGTTTAGTTCATAAAATAATAAGGAGTGGAATGGAATGATAGAAAATGATATGGAATGTTGATTACAATAATGAATCTGTTTTGTATGATGTTAAAGATATTGGATATTTTTTTAAAAGTTAACGTGCAAATTTGTCAAGTTTAAAATCGTAATAATTTTGTCCTACTGTTAAAAAGTTAATATTGACTGTTAACATTAATTGTTTCCCACTAATGCACTCCTTCCTCTGTTCATGTGGGATTAGCCTCTTGCTTCCTCCAGCGGGCAGCTGATATGTACGTCGTGAGGAATATAGAATGAAGTTCTTTACCATGCTTCAAGAGATGTTTAACTGCCAATCTGAACCCATGCCACAGGAATCAAGCTTGGAGAACTATTTTGGGTTTACTTTGTTGGAAATTTTGGAATGCTAGAAACAAACGGCTGTTTGCTAATGCTTCCTCTTTCACGGTACAAGGAAGAGAACGAAGTCTTAGCATTAGCTCATCAATCATCATAACTTAAAATTTTTTCATGAAACTAAAGCTATAAAGCTGTTACCTTGCTAGCTTCTTTAGCTTTTGTTTTCTCCTATGTATAGCTGATTTGCAGCCTAGTGTCAATTTCGTAAACCAAATGCTGCCTCTGTATTCTTTCTATGAAATTACACTCCTCTCACTCAAAACACGGGGGTTGAAAACTTCTAGTTGTAAATGTTGAAAGGCCAGTACAAAACTAGTTGAATCCTGCTTTATTGTATTGCAGTTGTTCTTTTAAATATAAAAATATACAGACAAATATCACATCATAACTCGAAACACACACACACACATCAATAATTAATGTAACGCATTTCCAGGCAAACAACTTACGTTGGAGATGGATTATGCCAGGTCCTGTCAAATTCAGCCTACATAAGTTAAAAGAAAAATTTGAGAGCACCAAAACTGGAACCTGAAAACAGGCAGAATGGCATACGGCAATTATTTCCTTAAATATTACAAATCCTTCCCTAACATGATAAGAAGCTGCTTTGCACTCCATGTTACATCAACAATTCTATGAAGAGGAGTAGCAATATCTTCTGCCATAGTCATCATAAGGGCTCTGCTTTCTGCAACATTCCGGATTTAAGGTATTAGACTATAGAATAGAAATTGTGTAGATAATGAAACTGTGCATAAATGATGTATGCATTAATTTTAAAAAAGCATTTATCTTTACCATTATTATCAATATGGCTTGTTGATATCCCTTAAAATGTTCACAACATAACTCGATTAACCAGAAAAGAATATTAAATAGGAATATCACAACCTCCAAACACAAGGGATGGGGTCACCACTTAATTGAATAATACCTCCGGGCCTACCAGCCAAAGATCAAGTTTGAGGAACTGAGATCAAGCTAAGCATTATTAATATTCACTTCCCAACCTAAGGAAGCGTGTGGGAAATAATGGGGTTTCTGTTGTGATCTTTTTCTGACATTAATTAGCTAGTTTACGCTATCCTTACTATTCTATCTTGGCATGCATCTCACATATAGGTTGTTTTCTATCTTATCGTGTATCTTCCCTTCATTTACTTGTGTGTCTTTCCTCCATATAGAAAAATAATTCAGAGAAACTAAAACCCTGAAAATCTTCATAATCTAATAATTCTTAATGCATATTTTGCAATTTTCTTTTAGCTTGGATTTTATGATTCCAGGTGTTTTAGAGCCATTAATTTAAAAATTTTGATGCCCAATGGGTTAAAGTTCTCTCTCTTTCACAGCTAATATTGTACTTGTTTGCAGTAGTTCTGAAATTGGCCAAAATTTTAAGAAGTTAATAAAGAGAAGAAAATGTTCACAAACCTGGTATCTTACTGAAATGAAACAAGGACAAAGACGCAAGAGTCTTGAACTCAAGATCCCCACTCTGCAGTATTCCTTTCATCTGATAGATGATGGCTGGGAATGCAGGAAGGGGTGAACCAGAATTACTTAGTACAGAAAGTCTGGAACTAAGCCATGTGACTGTTAATAAGCATATCTTCACCAAATCAAGGTATCTAGAGGCTAAACATCTTGAAATGTTCTTCAAAAATGGGCTTTCTCCATCACCAATCAACAATTCTAACAACTTCATCAGCCACTCTTGGTTCTTTTCTTCTTCATCTTCCTACGGTTTCATTTAAAATATCAGCCAAGTTACATCATGTGAATTGTGCAAGCAAAAAAGATTCCAATGACAGTGCTAAAATGTTCTGCATAAGAATCAATATTTCTGGAAGCTTGAGTGCTAGTTTCATTTGGTCAATGAAACAAGCATACAACTGCAATAGCTGAAGGAGTGCATAACGAAATTTAGCTATCTAGACGCTGAGGTAAGCATTATAAGATTGAAACAAAAATTGTAGCAACAAATGCAAACTGGAAGGTTAAAAATTCATGTTAATTATGAAAAGAAATAAATCACATAATTGTGACATTAGCAATCATCATTACATGCATAATACAAAAACTTCCGCGAGTCATTGCAATAGTTACTTATAATGTTAATATAATTGGGGAAAAGGCCATGAGAGACAATCAGATAACTTTGGAAAGCAAACATACCAATGATATTATGCCCTCTTCTTCATGCTCACAAGAATTGACTGCTGAACTATCATTTTCATCTTCATTTTGCTCTAAAATGTTAGCCTTGGCTTGTTTCTTTCTTTTGAAAGCAAAAAGTCCTTTCAAAATAAGCAGTGCCCTGCAACACTTTTCTTGAACCTTGTCATCATGTAAGCTGGCATCAAGAGCAACTGCAATGGCATTCACAGCCTCCTCTCTGTATGCGCAATGCATTGGAGGCTCAGTCTTCAGATAGAAGTTGTCCTAGCCAATTACAGAGATCAGATTTCATACATCACAGGTTGGAAAGAGGACATAATGGAAAGACACCAAATTTTAGCGATAACTTTTATTGAATAACTTCTCTTCTAGCCGTCAATGTGTAATTTCCATCTTAATTTTGCAAACTTTTGATATTGCTTTCTTGCACGTCAAGTCTACTTGCATGTCATTTACGGTGTGTTTGGATTAGCGGTTGAAAAACTGACTTTTATTCCATCTGACTTTTGCAAATATGAGTTTGAGTAAAAATCAGTTAGTATAACGTGATTTATATTTGGATTGATATTTATAAAAAATCAGTTTAAAAAGTTAAAACCTATTTAGATTATTAATAGAAAAGTAAGTTTGGACAAGACATAAATATTACTATTTTACTGAATCGTAATGTTTTATATTATATGTTTTTAATATGATAATAGTTAAAAAATAAATAAAATTATAAATATAAAATAAAAATGTTATATGTATATAACGTAATAATTCTAAAAAATATTTAAATTAAAATTAGACAAATAAAATAATAAATATTTGTTGGAAAAATTATAAATACTAAATAAATTATTCGAATAAAAATGATATAAAATAAGTAATTTAAGGAAATAAAATGAATAACTATATATATAAATAATATTATCCCAAAACTACGTCTGCACTAATAGGACACAGGACATAGGCAAGACAACAAAGAAGCATGAGGATTGAGAAGTAAGGGCAAAAATGGAAGAACAAATAAGAAAAAAAGAATGGGTGATGAGAAGCCAGGAGCGGTGTGATAAAAAGGCAACCAAAAGTGGCGTTGGAAAAAAAAAAAAAAAGAACTTACTTTTGGCATAAGTCAATCTCGAAAAGTGCCAATCCAAACAAGAGAAATTATCAAAAATAGTGTCCACCGTGGCTTTTGAAGTTTGCACCATGCTTTTCTCTAAGCTACCGGCAATTCCAACATGCTCCTAGTTGATGCAAGTAATTAATTAGAAAGGTCATTACTTTCCGATATCCAGCTTATATCATTTAAGAAATTGTGAGAGATTAGGACACTCGTTCTCAAGGTACCTACATTAAATGCGCTAGGATTTTTATGTTGCCCAATCCATTTATGTCCCGTTTGATTAAATGGAAGAGTTTTTGATGGAAATAGAAGTGAAAATGGAAGTGGAAATGAGATTAAAAATGTGTTTGGTGTGACCATGGAAGTAGAATTTGAATTTTAATTAAAATATATATTAATAATATGAAAATACTAAAATGTCCTTGCTGAAAAAAAATCACTCTCTTCCTCCCAAGGAAAAGAAATCCATGTTCGAAAAGAAGCACGCCGTCGGAGGAAACAATTCAGGAATTAGAACTGTTGTGATAGGATTTTTTCAATTGCAAATCTGATCAAACCACTTTCCTATAGCAATTAATCCACTCAAAACACCCATATCTTGAAGAAGTTAGCTTTGCTTCTTCTCATACTCCACATACCGCTTCCTACAATCCAGCTACGCTGCTATCAATGGCGGCCATTAACACAGGATTTAAACAAGAAATCTTCCAGAAAATTAGCATAAGAACCAAAAAAAAAAATATTGCAAAGAAGATGGTTGCAGCTATCAAAGTCAAGAACCAAAATCATAGGAAAAAAATAATAGCAGAAAATTTGACAAGAAAATACTTCCATTGTTGCAGCATCGAATCAAAGAACCACCTCTGTTAGAAATGAAAATGGGCTGCGAATTGTAATAGAGATTTCAGCTTAAAAAAAAAAAAAACAAAGCACTATCGTCTCTGGAGAAGAAGACTCGCAGATCTGGAGAAATCTCTCCCTCTCGATGGTAGAAACCATACTCTTTGGAGAGACCCGAATGTTGATCTCTCTCCATTGTCGTTGATGGAAGAAATAGATGAAGAGGATGCAAGATCGTGAGCAGCCAAAATGAAAATCGAAGGTTGAAACCGCCGCAATCATACATCATCCTCGTCGCCACGCCAACCTTGCCTTGTCTTCATCGTCCTCGCGAGGTCAACGTTGTCAAAGGTGTAGGAGGAAGCGAGAAGGGAGAAGATGAGATCGAAGGGGATGCCAGAGGGGGGACATCGTCAATGATGGAGATGGACACCGGAGGAGGATGGCGTCAGGTTTGACGGAGAAGGGATGGGCAAATTGGTCAATTGATAAAACAACTGAAGGGTACAATGGTCAGAAAATCTCACTTCCATGGAACCCATCTCAGTTCCCCGGTCTAGCTAAGGAACCAAGTTCCATCAAATTTGATGGAACTGACTTCCACCAAGAACCCACTTCACGCATACCAAACGCATAAAATAATGGGTTCTACTTCCGGTTCCACTTCCTTCCCTCCAGTTCCCTGCTACCAAACGGGGCATTATGCTTTTCATGTCAGAACAGTCAAGATTGTTTCTGACAGTACAAGAAAAATGACATTGAATGAATGTGATGGGGAAACCAGAATAAGGCTTTCAAGAGTATTGGCACTTACCAGTAAATCAAGGTGCAACAGAAGAACAGCAACAAGGGGTTTTTGACGGAGAGAAGAATTCTGAAGATACAAAAGTAGAACATCCATAGTGTTCAATAAATCCGGACCAGCAAAGCCACTTAAGAAGGAAATAACATCATTTCTGCAGCAAATGTATTAAAAAATAAAGTAATTTATAGCTGAAATAACAATATTAGTGATTCTAAGAGCTATAATTATGCAGGAACTCAAATTCTAGTACTATATATACTAAAGTGCCCAAAGGAGTTACCCTCAACATTTGTTCAACATGATGCCGCCATGATTTAAAAACTAAATAGCTCAATCATTTATCATATTAGACTTTTTAAAACCATTATGTTGATCTAAGAATTTCATCTTTAGACCAAGTGGTTCATCGACATGATATCGAAGTCTAATTGATCAAATAATTTAGAGCACAACCCCTGAGACCATAAGGCTATGGTAGTGTAAAGTACTATTTACCTTCGGCGGCTGTAAGACTCTATGGCATGCATTTCAATTCCAATGGGCTTTCACTTCGGCAACATGTCAGAGCTAAACAATACTTCATCCCTTGTTTAGTACTAGTACAGTGGTACTAAATCGGTAATAATATGCACAAGTCCATATGTGCAGACGCCTTTTCGCAACTCATGTATCTACTCTTTCTTATTTTAAATTTGTTCAATAAAATTTTCCAGTGTTAATGGTTATAAAGAAGATTAGACTTACAACTTTAACCTTTTCAAGGTGCTTTGTATGGTACTCTACTTTGGATGAGTAAGAAATACTACCTCCGATCCTTAACATAAGACCCTATTTGATTTTTATTTTGATCCTAAATGTAAGACCCCAATCCACTTTGTCTCTCATATTTATACAATTTTTTTTCCAAAGTAACCCTTCTAACAATGATAGTTTTAATCAATACACTTGATTAGCAAGGATATTTTAAGAAAGACAACACTTATTTAAGACAAATAACTAACTCAACTTACTTTCTTAATCTCCTTAAATTAGTCAACTGGCTCTTATAATTAAGACTGGAGGTAGTATTAAATTTGTTTGCGTAACATGCGAAAACATATTTTGGAAGATAATAATGCTTTGTTTGCGTAAGATGCGAAAATATATTGCCTTAAACATTTAAAAATTTAAAGGTGGAAAAATACTGAGTTTAACAGCAGCTTTAATGAAGCAACATATGGAATGATAACTGCTTAAAGAGTTAGAAGCGGTGGACAAAGGAGTTGATGGAGAAAGAATATCATCAACTAAGGTAAGGCATTCAAACTGAGTTGTCGCTAACCCATCAAAGACACAGACTACTACGATTCATGCTTTTCCATTTTCCGCAGACTAATGAATAAATACAGAAAACATTAATAGCCCGTCTGGTTCAATTCCATGAAAGTTCATTACATGTAATCCTGATGTAATGAGCTGATTCAATTGTTTGGTTGGACTTTTATAATGTAAAAAGAATTACATATTGTAATCCTAATTACCTTAAGTAGATGCATGGAGATTACATAGCTAAGACCTATGAATGAGGATGCAGACCTCTTGTAATCAAATAGAATATATTTTATTACCCTTATAGTTTTTAAAATTGACCAGATTACCCTTAATGAAAGACTCATAAACCCTATCAATTGGTATCAATTGTGTTCACACTACAACTGTTGTCTTCCTCACTGCTGCTAACGATCATCCATCAGGTTGGAAAGGTAATCACTCCTTGCCTCTTTCGTTTGGTTTTCTTTTGTGACATTTTTCATCAATTTTGGTGTGCGCTATATTCTTTTTCTATTTGTGGAGATAATAAGCTAATATTAAATAGATTAGGTGCATATGAAGAGTATGCTTTTCTTTCCTGAAAATACCAATGGACCTATATCCATTAAACATGAAACTTTATCAAACTATCTATTTAGCATTTTATGATTTTTGTCGCTATCAAGTGACCCTTCAAATCAACTTCAATTTTTTAACAAACCTTTTCAATTAATATTTTCTATTTGAAAGAAAAAGATTAACTCATTTTTTTTCCAAGACTGTAATTCTGCATACTTATCAAGAAGTTGGAGCTCATTCTTTCAAAAGCACTTTTCAAGAAAAAAGAATAATATTTTATACAAATGTATGGGATGAATTTAAAGAACTCTAGCTTTATCAAATGTTTTAAATATATTTATCCAATATGACACCAATTTCATTAGCATTTTTTCTAATAAAAAATCTGAATCTATTCTTTATATTTCTTGATCATCACAATTTTAACCAAAAAAAATGAAGCTTGTAATTATCTTCAACTAGTGTGTGCCTATTCTTTATATATTTTTGGGTTCTAGATGTCTATTCATAATATGCCTTTACTAAATAATTTATTTATATGTTTGCTTATATATATGATTTGCTTGAAATTATAGTAACATGTTTATATTATATATTGAGATTATATTATCCCATCTAAAATGTTGCTTAAAATTTTATGCTATAACTTTATTTTGGTTAGGTACAGTAAATTATGGATGAAGACAGGCAACAAGTCATTTTTCATACAATGTTGGCCTGCATTAGGATTATGTATGCTGTTCGGAAGATGTTTCTTGAGATGTTTAGTGTGGCTGTCTATAACACTAAATACATTCATGACCGGTCTTACACCCTTGATTTCCATAAGAAAAGAAGGTGCCTTAGAGAGATGGTGTATGGTAGTGATATAACTTGCTTTAACCAAACTAAGATGTATAGAACTACATTTTTTCGACTCTGTAGTATGTTAGAGACTATAGGTGGTCTTAAATCGACTCGGCATATGTTAGTGGATGAGCAAGTTGCAATCTTTGTGCATGTACTTGCTCATCATGTGAAAAAAAGAGTTATTTAATTTGAGTTTGGAAGGTCAGGAGAAACCATAAGTCGATATTTCAAGATAGTTTTAAAAGCAGTTGTTCGCCTCCAAGGTGAGCTCTTTAAAACACCTGAACCAATTCTTGAAGATTTAGTTGATGAGAGGTGGGAGTGATTCAAGGTAAACATAAATCCCATGTGTCCATTTTTTCAAGTCAGTTTTTTTTTTTTGTTTGATTGATGAACATTTGTAGGGCTGCCTTAATGCACTTGATGGAACCCACATAAGGATTCAAGTACCTACGGAAATAAAAGGTAGGTATAGGAATAGAAAGGGAGACATAACTACCAATGTTCTTGGGGTTTGCTCTCAAAATGGTGAATTTATATTCGTATTTCCAGGATGGGAAGGGTCTGCAGCCGATAGTAGGGTGTTGAGAGATGTAATTGCTAGACCAAATGGTTTCAAGGTCTCTCAAGGTATGAATGTAAATCGTGTATGTATAGTTTGATTTACTTCTTATGTTTTAATAGTGGTGATATGTTATGTGTAGGAAATTATTATCTAATTGATGCGGGATGCACAAACTGTGAAGGCTTCCTTGCTCCATATAGAGGATAGCGATATCACTTAAGTGAGTGGCATAATGGAAGAAATCCTGAATCTCCACAAGAGTATTTCAACATGCGACATTCATCTATTAGAAATGTCATTGAATGGGCATTCGGGATCTTAAAGATGCATTGGGTAATATTAAGGAGCCCATCATATTACCCCATTCGAACTCAAAACCAATATATCGTTGCTTGTTGTCTATTGCATAATCTCATTATGCGAGATAATATGGATGATACCATTGTGGCTGAATTTGATTCAATAGATCAACCAAATCTCCAAGATGATAATAATCCAATATTAACCATGGAACCATCAAATGCTTGGAGTAATTTCTGGGAGAATATAGCCAATGAAATGTTTAATGCTTTTAGGGCTCATAGGAATAATAGATAATGTTTGTAAATTATTATTTGAGTTGGACCTATATTTTTCATATTTGAATGTTTTTGTTTGACTATATTAGCTATTAAGGTGAGCTTGTAATAGTATATCTTTAACACTTGTGTGACTTGTATTTTAGATTTATATACAAATTATAGTTATTGTTATAATATGTGGGCACATAAAAAAAAAATGCATATACATTATATAGATACAATTTTAATTATCAAACCTACATTATACTTAATATATATAAATATATGGATACGAGCCAATTTTATAGTTTTTCCTATTATATATAAAAATTTATATTTTGATATGTTATAGTGGATACGGTTATTATATATTTGGACTAAAAAATAAACAATTTTAATTGTGTGTGTATATATATATATATATATATGAGAATGTAGATAAGGGTAATTTTGTCTTTTGATATATTATTTTTACCTATTCTCATGTTTTTTATAATCCAACCAAACATTTTTATACCTATACATCATTTTTCCGTAATGACGTACCAAACAAGCTCATATAATCATCATTACATTATATTCTATTACATTGCATTACATTCTATATCATTCAATGAACCAAACGGGCACTAAGAGTCAAAATCCTCTCCAATAAATAATTTATTTCATTTGTAAAGGGGAGCTAGAAAAATTGGGGCCTCAGTTTGTCCCTCTCTTGCAGCTAGCGCTACTGCAAAAGAACCAAACCAAATCATTAATAGGAAAGAGACTTCCAAACGAGTGAGACCAACGGTAATATGGTAAAGTTTTAAACTAAAGGTGCCAGACAAAACCCAAGAAATTAGAAAAAATGATAATACTCACCTTTTAAGAGAAAATAATTCAGTAAGTAGCGAAATTGCACTTGTTCCTGGGGCAACATCCACACTGCAAAGCAGGTGTAGAAGACATTTTTTGTCAATGTTCCTCGCGATCTGATATATGCAGCTAGAATCTGCTTCACTGCAATTTACCAAGAGTGCCAAAACATGTGTTTTCTCTTCCACATTTCCCAATTCAAACCTCCTAAAAAGAAATGACAGAAACCCTACAGAGATGAGTTGTCTGACATAATTTCTTTTGTTTACTCCATTCAATGAAGTGATGAGACTCTCCAAATTAAAGACAGCAGCCTCTTCATGTTTCAGCTTATGGCTTTCTTTGTCCGCGATTTGAGAAGCAAAATCCAGTATGCGACTAAATTGTTCTGACTTCCAATTATCAATCAAACGCTTCAAAACAAGGTTAGTTAATGGCATGGCAACACAATCTAAACTATTTCCAGACACCGGGCAAGTTCTGTTTCCCTTTTCAAACCAGGCTTTGATTGCTGCTCGTTCAAAGGTTTGACCAGTTTCAAGGGTAGTCGGTTCCTCAAATAAAGTTCCAGTCAAAGGACAAATGAACTCCTGCGGAATAGTTGGAAAATATAACCCTGCAACAAAGTAGTTATGTTCTTCATTCACCACTCATCCCTTAAATGATGATAGAACAAGACACGATTTCTCATGGAGCTTAAATTAATGAAATGTAATTGTTTTTCACCTTTAGGAGAAGAGCTCGTCTCTGTTGGCTGCATGAAAGTAATAATACGTTAGAGGAGGTCACCCAAAAAAACACAAAACAAAAAAGGACACAAAAAGCAGAAGGCGCTATCAAACAATAGAAATAGCCAAGAGCACGTTACATTTGCAACAGAGTTGGAGACTGATTCCTCACTGGACAGTGAACCAGTAGACACAATGTGATCAAAATGCCTTTTGGCATCTTGCATTACTAAAACAGATCCTGTCACCTTCGTAAGAGGGACTTCATTAGTTCTCTCATACGGTAGATCATCTAGCATGTTGCTTTTTACATGTGTGAAAGAGTTAGCAATATCATCACTGACACTTCTTCCTTGCCACATTTGTTCATCTATCATTGAGGTTCCTTTCTACACCAAAAATGTCAAAAATTATATACAAATGTGAGGATGTGTTAGATGCAGAGCAAGAGAAGAGAGAAACAAATAAGTACATGTGACTCTATAATTTATTTAAAAAAACATGCTATAAAAATCATAATGTAACTGCAAAAGATTTTCAATATCAAGTTGTAGAGCAGTAAGAATAATCTATTCACTTTATGCATATTTGTGGTAGTGCGTGCACATTATAGTCATATGGTTATAGAGAAAATAGCTATACTAATGCACTCTAAGACATGTGATGAGAAGAAATAATAAAAATGAGTCAAAACATACAGTATGGAGCTCAATAGCAAGCGTCACCTTCTGGGAATCTTCTTCAGTGTCTTCATCGGTATATTCAACCATTTCAGAGACAAATGTTAATTTTTGTTCAGCAATAGATGAAACACATGAGTGTCCCTTGCTGTTGTGTAAGTTATCTTCCGTGGCATTATCTTCCTCTTCTTCAATTCCAGCTTTACTCGAGCTACCAAAGACAGAATCATACAGTTTTTTGCTAACCATTGGCTGTGGTGAGAATGAATCAACGGAAGAAGCTAATTCAGAAGAATGACCAAGGGAACTTCCGTAATGACTTTCTGAAGCAGATGTTGAAGGAACGGTGATAGAAGGAACTGATGGAGCTTCTCCCCCTTCAGTGAGCCAGTCTTTGTAGTACACAGCAAATGAATGAGTCCCAGAATCCAAATGCTCATTATACACCTTTTCAAGATGCTTCATTTTTCTTGTTCTGCTTGTCATATTCACTAGCATATGAACTTCCCTGTTGTACCATTCTTTCAAAAGAGAAAGTTGTGGAGAAAATAAGCACTCCCACAATTCAGGAAGCAATGTTGTCCGTGCCTGAGAAGGTGAATCACAAAATACTTGCAAAAGATGCTTTGCCGATACCTTATCCTTTCTCTGTATCTTATAGACAACACTGAGGTAAAGATGAGCACAGGCTGACAACTTATAATTCGGTATCCCACATGTAAAACCATACTTCAGTTCATTTAAGCTTAGACCTGTAATAATGCTTAGCTGCAAAGAGGTTCTTTTCAATTCTTTTTCAGATACAGATTCCTCAGCAGCTTGTTCTATTGTATCAATTGCTTGTTCAAGACTTCTTATGACTTTGGTCTCAGTACTGTTCTCATCTTCCAGTTCAATGAAATTCAAGGAAGAAAAACAATTGTGACGCCATGTGGTCCGAAAATCTTCATCGTTTAGAAAGCGTTTTATATATCCATTTAGAATAGAAACAACTGCTTGCACAGCAACTTCATCGAGAGCTACATCAGCTGTTGTTTGCAAAGCATGCCCATGATTTTTGTCATAACTATTTTCAAAGCTTTCGTTAGTTGATCGACCGTATGATCTCTCCTGTCGCTTTATATTCTTCTTGGCACTTCCATTCAACTGTCCAACCTTATGTGTACTAGAACTGCTGCTATGCCTCTTATCCAGCTTTGCATCCTTGAGTAGCATCCTGGGCCACTTATCCCTATTCCTAAAGTCATTCAAATACTCTTCTTTCCCTCTATTTGCAATTAATTCATTGGAATAAACATCTTTAACTTTGCCGTCTTCTTGGTCGTCCACCTTGGTTATCTCATTTCTAGGTGTGTGTCCTGGTGTTTTGCTATCAAATTTTTTACTCAACTTCGCATTGCTGGAAGATTTCTCAGCAATTTCATTCTTCAATCCGTCATCCAATTTCCCTCTTTCAGCAAGATTATCCCTTGGTCTCCCGCGCTGAGCAGTATCTCTATTAAAAAATTCATCCCCAATCCGATATTGTGAGATGTAAGATTTTGTTCTCTCCTCTCTAATTCTGTCATCTGATACAGATAGTCTCCTTTCCTGGTCCCTGATTGAGTGATGGGGCATCTTATCAGGATTAGACTGGACGGAAGATCTGGATCTTGTGATTCTTCTGCTTCCCTTGAACCCTTCTTCAGCTAGGAGTTTCCCCAAGGATGAAGCCATTTATGTTGGAAATTAGATATATGCAGTAATCTTCACAAGGAAAGAATAAGCTCAATCCACAAGTTAAAATATTTTGGTTGGATGGTGTTCCTTCCTGTATACAAAGAGCATAGTGATAATCAGAAACAATTCAATGAAGCCTAAATATATAACTAAGAGCTGAAGATAAGGAATATCAAAATCAGAATAGATAAAAAAAATCCAGTAATAAATATCTTTCTTAGAATTCCTGCTGAAGTGAGCTCCATGATCAGTGAACAGTTAGAATATGGAAAAGAAAATAAAACAGATAAGGAAAGACGCAATATTAATCATAGACATTCCCGTTCACCTTAGCATAAAGACATTCTCCCGTTCACCTTAGCATAAAGACATTACGGGAATGTCAGAATCTTTGGCTGGAAGCAATTTCAGAAATGATATTCCTAGTATTCATGCTGACTTCTGTCACAAGTTAACAACAACTGTGGGCGGAAAAAATATACAGAATAGATTTTAAAAAAGGAAGTAATAATAGTTAAAAAATTCCTGTTCTCCAAACTTGAAGTTTAGGATATATCATTAAATAAATATCAGAATCTGTAACTAGGATCAATTTCAGAAATAGTGTTTGTATTGTTCATGATGTTTTCTGTCACAAGTTAACAATAACTTGATATGAAACAGAACATAAAATAGATAAAGAAAGACGCAATATTAATCAGAAACGTTCCTGTTCGCCTAAACATGAAGCTAAGAGTGTCGCCAAAAAAACCAAAAAAACATGAAGCTACGAGATAACATCAAAGAAATATCAGGGCCTGTAACTAGAATCAATTCCAGAAATGGTGCCCTTATGTACTATTCGTAGTGCCTTCCATCTCAAGTTATTAACTTTATGAAAAAGAATATGAAATGGATAAAGAAAGACGCAATAATAATCACATTCTTGTTCGCCTAAACATGAAGCTGAGGGACACAATTAAAGAAATATTAGGATCTGTAACTATATTCATCTTCGACAATTGTGCTCTTTTTTTTTTATTATTATTCATGCTGAGACTTCCATCACAAGTAAACAGTAACTCTGCAGCACATAAACGAAGAAGATAAAAGAAAGAATGAGACGCACCACGCAGAAGATTCAGAGATTTCCATTCACCCGCAATCCAGGAACGTTGAAACAAACACCTGAAATCCAATCGATCCAGCACCACCGAGTCTCCAAATCCAATAGAAGAAAATTTGAGAATAATATTCGAGAGATTCTTCAGGAAGAAAACGAATTAAGAAGCATGGTGATTGGAGAAAGTCCATATGAGGGCGTCGTGCGATGATTAAAGAATAAGGATTGAGGAGGAAAAAATCAAATAGAAAAATAATGAGAAGAACAACAATTGGCGACAAGAGAGAATGATGAGTGTTCAGGTGAAGACGACGGGTTGTGACGTAAGGGAATTGTTTGAATCTTTCAACCGATCTGGCTCGTGATTGGTGAATGCTGCCATTATCAGTTGTTTAATAGATTCCGTATAGGCCGGCCGTTGCAGGTTTTAACGCTAGTGAGCGCCAACTAACTAACTATCAAATATCAATTGACGTTTTTTCCAGTTAGCCTTTCATGTTTCTTCTTCTTAATAGCATGCTGTTAAAACTCAATTTGGGTCAAACTAGTCTTCTAGTTAAAAGTTTTACCCAAAATTAAAATTTTATAACCTTTTTCCCCGGACCTGAAACATGTGTGACGTTTTTTTTTTGGAGTTAAAGAAAATAGAATATTTATGTTTTAGGAACTTTGATTTGTTGAATGATATGCACTTCAATTCGGATATAAATTAATGCCTTTTATTTAAACAGCATTATTTTTTTCATAATTATATTTGAATTTTTTTAAGAAAAAATTGGGGATAAATCTCTCGTTAGAAAATTGACTGACAAACAGCCCCTAAGATAACGGGTTGCCTCGAAAAAAAAAGATAAGTTATACAAAAGAGATGTTGAGTTACATATAAGGAAGATGATTTGTGCAAAACATTATTTAGACATAGGGGATTAATTTGCCTATAAAGAAGATAACTTGCATATAAATAAAGATGAATTATACACAAGAAAAGTTCGATTGTATGAAGAGAAGATGTGACAGACAAGGGGAAGTGATTGCATGTAAGGCAAAATCGATTACACATAAGAGAATTTAAATTGAATGCAAGGACTATTTGACAATTAATTTTTCAACAAGGGATTTATCTCACTTTTTCCATTTTTTATATATTTTGATGAAATTACGTTATTTTTGTTGACTAATTAAAGTATACTCCCGTTTCTGTATATAAGAAATATTTAACCATATTGCACTGATCAAAAAGTTGATTAAAATTAGATACAATAAACATGTAAGAATTATAACTTTTCTTCTCAAAATACTCTTAAGGGAAACTACAAGAAAGAATAAGAAAATTATTAAAATAGAGAGAATTGTGAAAAAAACAGAATGTGTGGTGTATTGAAATGAGTAATTAAATAGAAACAAAATGAAAAATTAATGAACAAAATTTGAAATATCCTCCAAATGCCTTTTATAAATAGGAACAAGGCATAGGCGGTAGTTGTTTCTTATAAAAAAGAATGGATGGAATTTTACTCTAATTATGATTGGGTAATGGGTTGATCCTAATTTATAATCACAATTATATTACTGACTCTTAAATTACTGTCTCGATCGGTTAAATAATCAATCTAATTTTAGGCACTCCAAAGAGGGAAAAAAGCCTCTTTGGCAGTAATATTGAGTATCTTTCCTAGTCAAATCAAGTCATATAACGTCTATGCAATATGGCAGAGGCTCAAATCTTTACTGAAAGAAGTGTTCATATTTAACACTCAAGTATGATTACTTCCAATAAAAAAATAGTTGTGGCTGGAAAAAGAATGGGATGGAGGCTCTTGATGATGCTCTCCTCGACAATCATATTTTGAGACAATTTTCATGCGCCACTCAGTATATCTCCCAATTGCACATGATCAACGTTCGAAACTATTCTACAATTTAGCAACCCTTGAATTCAACAAAGCTTCAACCCTCCTCTAATGCTTATTACATAGAGCACCCGGGTGATAGCCCAATTTTTCTCTCTGTTTTTTTTTTTCCCCCCTCACGAAACTGCATTTCCAACTTTCATTCTTATTCTTAAAAAGCCCTCCACATGCACCTTGTTTCCAAATATTAATTGATTGAAGCATCAACATTTAGTCTAATCCATGTCAGTTTCAATCAGTAATCAATTAGTCTTTTTTTTATTTTGTCATAATTGCTTCCCAAAATGTTTTATGTATAAGGGATGTTTGGATGGAAACCAATTATAGTTTTAAAAGTAATTTTATAATATACGAGATAAATATATGAAAAAATTTGTCTCAATTTATGAAAAAATACTTTTAGAATATCCAAACAACTTCTAACCCTAAAGTAGTTATAAGAACAGCTAAAAGAAGGCAATATCTTCGTACTTGTGATCCTCTTCTGCAAAGGCCTTCTGGCCCCACATCAGTTATTCTGTAGAATTCGGTTGTGTTTAAGACGTTGATGGAATATTTTGCCTTTAAATATTCAAGATATCCATTGCATCTTACTAAACACTTTTCAATAAAATTATACTTTAATCCCAACATTTATTTTATCCCCATATTTATCATTGTTATAAACTAATTTATTTAATTTATAAACCGATATATAATTTAGAGCAAAATACACTAATTATCTCTCCTTTTTATCTAAATCACAAAGAACATTCCCTCTATCTTAAAAAAATGTATAAACCTCTTTTAAAATCAAAATCTATGTCTCATAAACCTCTTTTATATACCTAAGATTCTATTTCCATCAATTCAATAGTTAGTTGACCATTAAGTTTGGTTCTTAAAATTTTGTTTCAACCAATATACCCCTTATTAACATAAGAGTTGTATTTGTAAAGAAAATATTTTTTGTACAAAAAATATACTTTCAAAATATTTACTATGGTACAAAACTTATTAATTTTGATTATATTATAAAATTTTATAATTTTAATTTTTATCACATTTATTGAAACTTATTATTTAGGTTTCTTTTCAATTGTAAAAAAAATATTTTTCACACATATTTTTTCCATCATATGGTATAAATAATGTAAGTTTTTTCATCACATTTTTAAAGAACTTATTCAAATCATTTAAATTTATAAACTAAATTTTTTAATTAGAAAATTTGTTGCAAATGTTTGCAAACATGCTTAGTTAATCATACATTTATTTATATAATTAATCAAATTTTCAATTAGATTTTTTATGTTTACATTAAATAAATTGCTCAAGTATATGTCCAACATGATAAAAACATTAAAAAATAATTATTTGAAAAAAAAGGAAAAAATGGCAAATAAAGACCCCCAATATGTGAAATTGCTAAATGGGTTTCTTAGTATGAAAGATGGCCTCAGCAAGCATGGTCATCTGTTGCAAATATGAAATGATGGTAAAATATCCGAAATGCCCCTCAGTAATTCCGACTCTTTAATCAAGGTAGAGACAAGAAATTTAATGGTGGAAGAGCTGGGGGAAGAAGACCCTACGTGCATGTGATATTGGGATTGAAGAGCATCCAACATTGGTAATCAAGTAAGTAACTTACTGACTAAACTTCTCTTCTACTCTTCCCTCTAAGAGATGGGCATTGTGATATTCTTTATTTTCATATTTGTTGTGTGAGTGGGGAGGATTGAGGAAGGAAGGGAATGAGAGGTATAGTTGAAGATAAAAGATATTAGTTGTAGGAGGTTGTAGTTAGTTTGAGGAGGGATATTTTTGTTTTTCTATTGTGATTGGTGATCTGTCATTTGCAGTGCATGGTGTTAGTGGTGATAGTGAAGCGTTAGGAATTTAGTGGTTTGGTAGAGTGTGGGCAGGATAATGGCTGTTAGTTTGAGTGTGAAGTTTCAGGTGTTGTAGTGGACGGAGGGAATGAGGATGCCGTGATTTTGAAT